CCCAAACTCTTGTGCGCTTGTTTTTATTTTCTCCCCAGATTTCTATTACATCTCTTGACAAATTATGCCGCAGTCATTCGAAACCACCCACCCCTTCCCTATTCTTTCTTTCTTTTTCAAGATCAGGTGAGTAACTTTCCATGCGATGAAAAGGGCAAACTTCCCTGTAACCGTGATTAAAGCTAATGGGAAACTTCCCCTCATACACAAGACGCTTTTCTTGAAGGAAGTTGGTTCAATTTTTCCCATTAAATAGAGCAACATGTTCACATACATTTGTATAGCTGGTTTTTTTATTTGTTGGCTATCTGTAGGTCATGTTGCCCCATAACGTGTTGTCCAAATTACGACTTCATCACCCCTTGGTTCGCTCGCGCATCGATTCCCCCGTCATTTCTGCTCGATCTGTGCAAACGGCCTATAAGTCTTTCAAAACATAGGAGAATCCCATGTCTCACTTGCGGCAAGCTGCTAACCAGCCCACACAATCTGTGGTGAAGTGAATCGAAGTTACTAGGCTTCAGCGCAGTAACTTCAAGGGTCTGCAGTAGACTTACACTCTCTTGCTCGTCAATTCCATTATTACTTTTGCTCGACTTTCGCAATCCAGCGTTCAGTCTGACCGAGCATAGGACAATCGCATGTATCGCTTGTTGCCAGCAGCTCACAAGCTCGCGTAACAGTATAGAGACGTTATGAGCTTTCCTTGCATTCTTGATTAAGCAAACACACCGAAGAACTTGATCACAGACTTACGCTCGTTTACTCGTCGAGTCCTTGATCGGCACGATCCTGCGCCTAGTCTTTGCGAGAATAGGATAATCCCATGATCATTTGCGGCCATCGGCTCACGAACTTAGGACCTCAAACAGGAACATAAAAATGACTATAAACTGGACTATAAACGTCACTTTGGGAATTTTTACGAGGGTTTAACATCCCTTTATCTTCCAAGCTGGAAACTCAGGAGGGTAGACCTCGGCCTGCGTGAAAAGGTAGTTGATGTAAGTTTTAAACCAAACGAGAGATAAATACAACAGAAAAAGCTTAACCTTTCTGTCAAGCCGCAGGAGAGCAGCCCAGGTAAGTTTTGTTCAATTTATTCCCGTGTTATTGAGCTCTTTCGTAAGTAAATGATGGCTTAATTATTGTACAGGGAAACCTCGACTTAACGAAGCGCCAAGAGACTTGAGAAATTGGCTCGCTATATTGAGGGTTCGTTATATCGAAAACTTCGGCTTAACGAATTTGCAGACTTGGAACAACCAAAATGTATGTCATATCGCGAGATTGTTAACAGGTGCTGTTTTGTTTTGTTTTTTCGTTGTTGTTGTTTTTGTTGTTGCTGTTTTTTGTGTGTGTGTGAGACGTGGCTTTAATGTCTTTATGAAGCTACAGCACCTTGTTTTTAAAGCGCGAAGGATAAATTTCAGTGGAAGTCATTGGCCAACGGCGAAACAGGGCATTGGACTGAAAACTCTTGCCTCTTACAACTTTTACCACAGAAAGTCTTAAAAGACAAAGAAGTTCACACAACTAATAAGAGACAAAGGATGAAAGGGATCTGTAAATGCGTCGATAGTGTCAGTGTCGGCATTTAGAATGAGCTGTTAACTCTGACGTTCTCCTGTTGTTACAGATTGAAATATTTTGATTCCAGTTTTTTTCGAATTTTCTTTAGTGTCGTGTTGATATTTGTTCGTTATATTGGGGTTTATTATAAGTTTGGGCTTCTGGATTATGTTCTAAAATAATACTATGATAGGCAGCTGACTTTTTACCACGTTACAAAAAGGCGATAATGACTTACTCATTGAAATGTACTCTGTAGTTCTTCTATAAACCAATCCTTAAGATTAGTGGTGAGAACCTTACATGCTCATCCAAACAGATCTTCATGATGTCAAACAGAGGTCACTTTAAGGGCTGAAGCCAATTGCATTTTGAGTTATGTTCTCATGGAGGATTACTCTTTCGCGTTAAAACATAGACACGGTCAGTACGGACACGTTTACACAAACCTGTGGCATTCGGAGATTTTTCTTTTGTTCTTAACTATAAATCTGTTTTTTCTTTCAATTTGTTGAAAATCTATAACTGAGTATCATACTCGACAGATATTTCTTTAGCATGTAAATAACTCCATTTACAGTATAAAAAGGTTACGCAGAACTCTCATTTATATGCGTCCAAACAAAGTTTTAATCTCACTTTTCTTATGCTAAAAATAATACCAAAATATTCAGTATTAATGCTTTGAGTCAAAATAAAGCAGAAACATAATGATTATGCCGTAGAGCAGTATTTTTCTTGTTAAATACTAAAACAAATTAACGAATATCTTTAGATGTAAACAAGCGGTGGAAGTTTCGTGCGGAAGTAAAAAAAATTGAAAATACTTTACTAAAGCTCAGTCATTTTAATACTGACGCAATTTGGTATTCTCTTGCCTTCTTATAACTAGTAAATTGCGCTAACCGTAGATTAATAGAAGTGATTAGTTTGCGTAGACCGGGAATAACATTTGGGCCAATAAGTTATTCGAAGAACATTTCCCCCCTCGTTTTTAAGAGCAAAAGTTGAGAGATTTTCAAAAAAATAAAATACTAAATTGATTTATATTTACAAAAGGAGTAAAGTCGCAATAATATTTCAAAAGTTCAATGTTTACTGTATTCTTAATATTGAAATATCTTGGCCGCACTAGAAGAGTTTGTAATCAATGATTCATTGCGGACCCTGACTCATTGTCAGAATTTCGCAAATATAGGCTTCAAATTAAATTGGGAAGCAATACTCGAATCCAAAAATAACCTGAAAAGCACCGTAATGCGTGTTCCACAAAATTCTATCAACTATAGATAAATTTTCCTCGCCGTTTAAACAGCTTTCGTCGCTATTCCATGCCACCACGCCAGTTGCGTTAATCGCAATGAGGAAAAATTCAAAGAAGAACTTTGGATCAGCCATATCGAATCCTACCTCGAAAATTTATATGCAGTCTCAGTTTACTTGTCAGTCATAACGACTTGTGAAGAAGATTCGTGATGGATACCGCCATCAAACAAAATATAAAATAATGATGAATTAACGTATGCGTATTCCGTTTCGCTACTGTTTTGGTTCTTTTCTTGTTGTTAACGTTAAGACTTTCGATGGTCGTTAATGTAGAGTGGTCACTTGTGCGAACAAAGTAGCCAAGTAACCCTGTAAAAAATTCAAGATTTTATTAACTCAGTGTTGGACTTTGTTCACTTCGCCGAATATAAGAATAAGATAATAAGTATATAAAGTACGCAGTATGAATAATATGATATTCAAGTATTTGGACCTTTTCAAAGCCTGCGCATCTGATTACAATAAAGGGTATTAGGTATGAGGTCTGCTCGATGAAAAATTTTAACTTAAACATTTGGGCTAGACCATAACAATAACACAACTTGTTTGACCACTCCAGAATTTTCAAACAAGGCCAGTCTTGTAAAGGTGACTAATATATCAACAATTTTACACGCAAATTCATAATTCTTAGTTTAAAATTGATTTTCATTCAGGTATTTGGCGTTTGAGAGTGAGCCCTGTGTAGACACTAACACACCTATCTAGCCCCAACATGAATGTACTAAACTAGTTAGAAAATGGAAAGCTAGATAGAACATGGTGTGACACAGCTAAAAGGTGTTTCAGTTAACTCCTTCTACTTCTTTTCTTTCCTCTTTGCATTGCCTTTTTTTTTCTGTCAGAGGGTTTAAAGGCAGTTTTAGACTCCTTTTCAATCACAGCACTTACAATGATGAATTCAAGTTTTAGGGTCTTAAGGTGGAGCTTAACTTTTTAGAGAAAGGACATTTCCTCTAAATTATGTTTAACCTTTATTTTAAACCTCCAGATTGGATCACTGTAATAATAAATTTTGGATTTTATTATTTTAACTGAAACCAGCCATCTCTCTATTGTAGCTAGGGCTGCCTGACAGGGACCTTATTTCTTTAAGTTTACATTCTACGGTGTGATTCTACTCAACGCTTAAAATTTTTGTCAAAATGCCACGAAGACTTTTATTCAAATATCATAGAAATCTCAGACTTCATTGTATATGTGCTAGCGAATACTTCCATAATTGTTCGATTTAGAGTCTACTGAATTGCTTAGCCATATCTATTTGAAAAAAAGAAATCTTCGATAGGGTCATGCCATGACGAACTTCATCGCTAAATTTGCTTGGGTCAGTATTGCTTGATATTGGATGCAACAAAGCATAAGCTTAACTGAGTTTAAGGTACGTATTCATTACCAGTGAGAAATTTTCCTCCCAATGATGTGTCTGAAAATTAATTTTTCTGGGTTTGGTAAAGTGAAGTCTTAACTGTAGAGTACAATCCGCTGAAACAGATCTTCGTTAAATCTGATAGGCAGTAATGCCCACACAGTACTTGACGCTGGAGGTAGAATGCTTCCAGTCCAGGAGGAGACGTACGGCAAAGACTTCAGAGATCAGAAAACCTTTCTTTTTTCAAAAGATCACAGAGCCTCATCATTGGCTAATTGTGACCCTCTACGGGATTTCAGGGAATAAAGTGAACGCACGCTGACTAGCTCGCTATAACAATAGAACGAGCTTTTGACACGTTAGCTGCGTGTAAGTTACTTGCCTCATTAACTTCGCAGCCATTGTCTTGCTTCGCACCGTAGAAATAAACGTGTTAAGATCTTGCTCGCAACTTTGCACGATGTAACACAGTGACCGTGCCAACTTTATAATACGTCTCTTAGCTCGTAAGATGCCAAGATCAGCGTAATGTAAATAATACGCGGCTTCGCTCGGAAAACATCGTTTTGCGCCGGCTAACTAGCGGTTATTTATTTTAAAAATGCCGGTTTGTTGGTGCCGTAAAATTGGCGAAGTGCACAAAAAAACCACGGTAAATAAAAGTACACTCAAGATATAAACTTTCATCGTTTTATTGAGCAAAAAGCAATCTGCAAAAAGCGGAGTCCAATCTATAAACAAAAAGTACAGTAAAATATCGAAAAAAGCAACCGATCACAATTTTCTAACTAGTAATTCCGTAAAAATCCGCCGTATAATATTCTTTAAAACTGCAATTTTTTTCTTTACTCCATAGACATACACACAAGTTGGTTTTATCAGCGATAGAGCAGTAAACCTTTACAGTGAAGTAATTAAAAGAAAGTATACCAATAATCAATATCACGAAATCTTGGTGGTACATTAAAGGGAATTTGAAGAACATAAACGAAGATCGGGCATACAATTCCCTAATGGCTCAAAATTATCTAACTATATAATAGATACAAAAAAGCACTTCTGGTATATTTCAAGCTATATGCGAAAGAAATGACACAAAATTCCTCTCTGCCTTTTTGAAAAACAACTAAAACGCAAGCAAAAAGGTGAAAATCCGATATCTTTGACTTATCCGTTCGTTTTTTTGGGGGAAGAGTGCGTACCTCCTCTGTCTGATAGAGGAGGACATTTCATGCGTTAATCTAGATATTTATTTCGTCGTAGGAAACGGCTTTATTTAGAATACCCAAATCTTTAGGAGGATTAGTACTTGAACTCGGGGCGTCCGGCTTCTCGTTTTGCACGGCTTCATTCGAGATGCCCAGTGTCTCGTACTGGTTGTATCCAACGTTGGAGACTGGTATTTCTTCATAACGAGCATTGCCTTCCTTCTCATCCCTTAAAGCGTAAGTTGCAAGATTTGGGAGGGAAACTTCTGTGGGCATACCATCTGAACTACGCCTTTGGATTTTACCATTGCGTCGCTTGCAGTAACGAACAAGGTAAATTAAAATGAGAGCAAGAAAAAAAACTCCTCCACATGTAATGCCAATTCCCATTGCCAAGGAAATCTTTGGCTTTGTAGTTTCTAAGTATAATAAGAGTAAAAAATCAAAAATATAAGCATGGAAGGGGAAAATCACTGAGGAAAGTCAAAGCAAAATTCAACAAAAAAGGTGAATGAGAAAAGAAGGCCGTTCAAACCAGACATGAATTTTGTATCTTAATAGCACTTAGATATATCAACATGAATTAGGCAGCATTAGCGGGGGTTCTATTTCATTTCATTCTTTGTTTTTTTTTAGTCCGTGCGATATAAAAACAACAAAAACAACAAAAACAACAAAATAAAACAAACAAAAAGTAAATATTTTTTGAACGGCAATCGAAACTTTGAAAAATAACAAATTGTAGGAAATTATTTATGACCTAGGATAGCAGTGGACAAGACTCCAAGGCTTATGATCACAGATTGGTTGCTTAAAATCATATACCCTCTCTATTTACCTTCTCTGCCATTTTTAACTCTTAAGGACTCAGGATCAACTCTCAAGGAGCCCATTCTGCCATCTTTTATTCCCTCTTTAAGTGGTGCTAACGCTTCTTCAGTTTTTAGCTTCCCCTTAAATTTTAACTTGAATTCCACCACAACACTTCCTTTTCTGGTCATAAACACAAAGACAATCAGTTAATTCATTACCTGACTGTATTTATAGCATAGTGCTCTCGTATTGTAGTGAAAGACAGATGCAGGAGATCATTATCGCCATTTACTTAGTTTCAAGTACCTGAATGATAGAATTCTTACAGCAACAAAGTTATCATCTTTGGAATATTGCTGCTGAATCTGAAATAAAGATAAATAAAGAATGTGTGAAAGGATAATTAACCAGTAAAATTATTATTAGACTAATATAAATGAACAGTCACGGGAAACCAAATCAACGTTATAAATAAGAACCTAAAATTCGATACTTTTAAAGCTTGGTAAAGCCTTGGAAACGACATGATTTAGACTGTTTATCTTACTGAAGCTCTCCTCTGGAAAATGTAATGTGTAGTGGTGAACTCTTCAGTGTTTTCTAGATCTTCCTCTGTTGTTGCCGATCAATGTTGGGCATAGTATAATATTCCTCCCTATTTATTGTTATTATCGAGGTGTGGTGATTCGTTGTGGCCTGGGACACGCTAACCCCAGTCGCAAGGCGGAATAGGATGTGAGGTCAAACTCAAACCCAGTTTCCTGCAAAAGAGGCGGATGGAGATCGTGGTAGGGAACACAAACCTCAGCTTTCCGTCCGGCGGCCTCAAGCAGAGTGCCACATGGAACAAGTATGTTTCCTTTTATCATCTCGTTTGCATTATCCTTAGCGACTTATGTTATTAATTTTGGTTGAGAGTCGCCCCGCCATCCATGCGAGGATCAAGAAAAAAGCCGACTAACTGGCGTTATTGCCCTTGCAGGAATCTTTTCATTCGTCGAAACAGCTTCAGCTCCTTGAAACTGGATCTTCGATTTTTGTGGCGCAAAGGTCGCCAGTAAAACTCAAAATACTTCTTCACAATTGCAGTTTAATTATTCTATTTCATCTCACTTGTTTGCTTCAGGGGAGAATAAAGGTGTAACATGCAAATTACTGTGAAGATATTCGGAATTATTTTCTACACTCTGTCACTGGGAACCTTATCGAAATTAAAAATTCATTGCTAGAAGCGTATACAGGGGCCAGGTAGGAAATGGAGGCTCGTAGATGTACTACTTCCAGAAGATGTATTCGCTTAAGGTTAACTGCTAGTGAAATGCTCGCGGTACGAAAATATCAGATAATGTCGATCTATCAACCGTCTAGGGCTTTATCCTTGCCAGAGCGTTATCGTTTGTATTCCGCGTTTATGTTTGTTGGTTTACTTTTTGTCTATTTGCTTTTTCCTGCTGAAAAGCTGGTAATGAAACTGGAGAATATGGTATGATGAAAAGAAAGAAATACTCGACAGAATAAGGATGTAGTTATTTTTTCTTCACTTAAGCAATTCCTTTTGTGAAGAGAATCACGGGTGTAAATTGAATAGCAATAAATCCAATAACACCAAAAAATAGCAAAAATAAAATCTGAGAACCAAAACACCAACTAGCGATATTTTTGATTTGGTTACTGATTTGTCAAAACACTCAAACGGCATTTCTAACTTTACACGTATGCAGGCTTAGTTCACGAATCTCGCTGTCTTTTGAATCCTTCTAAACTACTTCATGTGATGCTCACCTCTTTTTCAAATTCTCGAGACAGGTCTTTGAAAGCTGCACTGCTTTTGTCATTCAATTCATCATTCCAGGTCATGTCCACATGTAATTCCATGATGAGCTCTGTTATAAAGTGATGGACCTTAATGCACACACACACACACAAACATCGTATGCATCTTATAACCTTCATTAGAGGCAAACTTGAAAATGTTTCATGCAAGTAGACCATTTCAAGAAAAAGCAGACAAAGGAAACACGAATGTAACAGTGATATTAGCAATAAAAAAAAGTCAGTGATAACGGAGACGAGCATAAAACAATACTAAACAACGACCTGTCCTGCTTTCCTCGATGGCTGCTTCTTCTGTCTCTGGTTCTTCAGTCTCGAATGCACCTGTTGTTATTTTCTCTGTAGCTGGTTTATCTGTGCGTGGTGCGTCAGGTTTTGGTGTTGTAAAGGCTGTTTGGCTTGACAAGGCATTTGGAAGCCTGATTGATGAAGTAATGCGCACCTCTCTTGAAGGTGACGAAGGATTTATTGTCTGCGATATTCTCACACTAATGAAACTTGTTTCAAACCCGCGCGTGGTCGTAGCAATGACTGGTGCACTGGTTTTGGAAGGTGTCGCTTTTGACTCTGATGGACCTGGAGAAGTCTTTCGGGATGACTGTTCATTTACGCTGGATATTGCTTTAATAGGAAAGAGAGTTAGTTTTGGCCCAACACAAATAAACACTTCTAGGCGATACAAATATAGGGAACCGTTCTCTAAGGAGTGCGAAGGAGGATAATTTAATTACATGTAGAGCGAAGTAAGACAAAATGTCACAACGACATAGATCAAGTGTTCTCCGCTGAAATAATTAAGCTCTGCCAAGGTAAGATTTTTCGCGGTAAGAATTGTTCATGAAATGTTATTAAAAGAATTGTATTCTTAAAACACAATCCGTCGTCGTTTGAATTTACGTCGAGAGTCTTTCCAACAAAAATTTTATGCACGCTGTTTCAGGCTTCCATAAATAGGAAGTGTAGCCTAGTGAGGGAAGAAGAGTAGGCACCTCTTAAGTGCTCTAGCCGCTTCCTGTGTGCTTTTAAACAGAACAGAGCACAGTCAATGCCTCTTTAAATGTTATATAATATAATCCTTGAGATTCCTTACTCATAATTTTCTATTTTCAAAACAATTTTAACTTTACGAAGCGAACGTAAATGTCGTTAGTATGTTTGATTGTCTCCTAAGACACGCTAAGATAAGCCAATCAAAATCTTCTTTTAAAATGGTGCTAATAATCTGATTGGTTGAATAAAACGAAAGCTCTCAAAACCATGAAACCACCTAAGTTGACAATTCATCAACATTCACAATCTGCAATAGTGCACATGCACAAACTGAAACAGTTCGGCTGATCGAATTCAACACTATCATGTAGTTTTTTAGTCTAAATACGGAATCTAAAAATGATATTCATTGAAATCCGGCCGAACTGCAGCTGATGGAAACAAGTTTTTAAAACTTGAAATTAGAAAACAACTGCTTCAGGCGTGAATTTTATGAATGAACAACAGCCGACTTCATAGGAACAAAAATATTCTTCGGGGTGAAAGCGTCCGTAAAAATCGGCCGCTGTGACGGATTTGGCCTTCAACTCAACGCATCGCAGATTGCTACACTGCGAGGAACAGGAATCGCCATGATGAGCGAGGATCGTAGTTTCTCTGACACTATAATTTGTATAAATTTTCTTCAGCTATGCGAGTTCGGTTACATTTTTCATCATTTCCGACTTGCACTGTTCTGTTTTTTGTACACGAAACTACATATACGACACGAGTGTTTGCTGTGTATGAGTTTTAATACTGTACGTACTGAAATAACGATCTAACTGAGCGTGAAAACGTTCAAAACTCGAACTGTCCACTTAATTTTTTCCTTGGTGATTTTCGTCTCTGCTCACCTTTTAATTTCGTCCATTACAGTGCTTGGCGTGTTTAAAAACCTTTGTTTGCTTCTTCTGTTGTTACTTGAGTGAGTTATTTAAGGTCCATACCTAGACTCATAGTATGACTACTTCATACTTTGTTTGAATATTGAGTTTGAATCAAGCAAATTATACTCTACTTGGAAATTTTAGAAAATGACGACCCACCAGTTTCACATCTAGATCCAGTAAAGCCTGCCATGCAAGCACACGAGTAATCATTAACACCATCAACACAGGAAGCACCGTTTTGGCAGGTATGATTATGACAATCATCGATGTCTGTCAATAGCAACAGGAGGCGAAAATAAGATGACATTTTAATGGGTGAAAATTAATCCAAATCACAAGATTAGTAATCTGTAACACAGATAAAAAGGAATTGACACTAAGAAAATGAATAAATTAACGAGAATTTCAACTATCGCCATTTTGATAGACATCCATCTTTGATAAAAACAAAGAAACAAACAAAATGAAAAAAATCTAAAGGTAAATACGAGTTAAAAGAGAGGCAACTTTAAACTTAGGAGATCATCATTTCAGTCATAATTAGTGTGAGTAGTCTGGGTCCTGCAGATAAAGAAAGTCTTGGATAAATAAACTATTAAAATAATGAATAAGTAGACAAATTGGTTACAAATATATCGAAAGATAGATCAAAACAATTAATGTAAAAAGACAACTCACTATTTTGACAATGGTTTCCAGTGAATCCCGCCACACATCTACACGAGTAAGAATTAATACCATCCACACATGTTCCACCATTACCACATTTATGATTGACACAATTATCGATGTCTGCAGGAGGCAATTTCAAGCAAAAAATAATCTATTTTGAGTTTGAGTCAATTTCCTTATTTATAGACGAACTAGCAACTTGACTAAATAGAAAGTTATCTTCTCACTGCAATACGTTTGTTTCCAAAAGTCCATAGGAGGCATGTCACCAGCAATCTTAAGTGTGCTTCAAATTTTGTTCAATAAAGATGAACCAAGAAACTTTACGTTTTAATATAGAAAATTCTAAATTCTACTTAGGACATTTTTTATGACAACCTACCAATTTTACATCGAGATCCAGAGAAGCCTACCACACAAGTACACGAGTAACCATTAACTCCGTCCACACAGGATGCACCGTTTTGGCAGGTATGATTACGACAATCATCAATATCTATCAAAAGTGAGTGACAGACAAACGAACAAAAAGTTATCTATTATAGGAATTTATAAATTAGACACAGGCAAACCTTTCACCTAAAGGATGGAGAGAACAAAAGATAAAAACTTAAAAGAAGAAGAAAATGAAAAAAGGATACATATTATGTTAAAAGAACGACCATTTGAGATTCGCAAGTTGCTTTTATCGTAACTTGCTGGATTTTATCTGTTATCCATTAGTAAAGAGATTCTTGAAACGATAACTTACTTGTTTCACAACTTTGTCCAGTAAAGCCTTGTGCGCATGCACACGAGTAATCATTAAAACCATCAACACAGGATGCACCGTTTTGGCAGGTATGATTATGGCAATCATCAATGTCTGTAAAAACCAGCAGGGAGAAATCATCCAAATACCGTAGTTCCTCCTCTGGGCGCCCGGCCGCTTATTTAATGTTTAGGCTAAAAGGAAGATGGAGGGGGGGGGGAGGGGACGGGGCGCTAATTGGAGGGAAAGCACTTCATCGAGGGGCACTTAGCTCAGCAATAGAGCAAGAATTAAAAAAAAAAAATGAAAAACAAACAATACTCATGGGAAAAAAAAAACTCTTGAAGCACATGGCGATAAAAAAGCAAATGGAAAAATAATAATAAAAAAAAAACAGAAGCGGAGAAGAACCTATCCTCCTTTATTGATTCTGCCGTAGCTTAAGCTTGACAAATGGAAAAGTGGCAATGAAAACCGATTTTACTTGTATCCATACTATTTAAGCGTGGAAGGAGTTATAAGAGCGGTTAATCGAGGAAGCGGTTTTAGCTTTACTGCATAATAGACAGATCAAATATTGAACCATTAACTTTATTTTGCACGATTTGGACATACACTAGCGTACAGGTAGCCAGAAAGGACAAATATATAATCCATGTTTAGAATAATCAAACTGACAATTATCGCTTTTTTTGAACCGAGAGCTGAGCAACCACTGACAGACATTGTGGTTAGAAAGGTGATCAGAAAAAAAAACTCATATGGAGAAAGCAGACAGAAAATCTTGGTAGGTACCGGGCCCAAGCTCATAAAGCCATCTTACTAGGCTATCTACATAAATAAACTATGAAATGCGGCAAATCGGTGTCGGCCTAGAATGATTACCCACTTGGAAACACAGGGTTAAATACTCACATCTCTATACCCACAATGCACCCTCAGAAAAGGTCCATTCCTAGGCCCTGTTGTTCTCGTGCCAGCGAAATATTTAATTTCCGACTTATTCGTTGACACTTTAACGCCAAAAATTCCATCTTTTATGACATTGTGGCGAAACAGGGGTTTGAGGCTTATATTTGGGCGCTTATTCGAGGAGATGCTGTAATAATCTCAGTAATTTCGTACAAAAAAAGCAAATAAGTGACCACAAATATCAATAAAAAGATAAAACGAATACAAATAAAATAACAACTCACTATTTTGACAATGGTTTCCGCTGAATCCCGCCACACATTTACACAAGTAAGAGTTAGTACCATCTTCACATGTTCCACCATTAGCACATGTATGATTGACACAGTCATTGATGTCTGCAGGAGACGAAATCAAATTAAAAAAATCATTTAAGACTAAAAATTTGTAATTTCTTCATTTCTAGATAAAACAGAAGCTTAATTGACAATGCTATTGCCTCTAAATGTCCTAAATGTTTGGTTTACCATCAATCTTTTTTTTCTGTATGTCCGTAAAAAAGAGTTTCATTACCATTCCATAGGGCGACTGAATATTGTTTTATGAAGACAGGACTAAACCTTACGATTGAACATAGAAAACTCTATATTCTACACAGGAATTTTTGTTATTACCACTTACCAATTTTACAACTAGATCCAGTGAAGCCTATCACACAAGTACACGAGTAATCATTGACACCATCAACGCAGGATGCACCGTTTTGACAGGTATGATTATGACAATCATCGATATCTATCGAAAGAAAGTCACAGACAAACGAACAAAAACCATCAAAAATCAGTCGTAAATTATCTGCTCAATAGTAAAAAGAGAACGAATTTCTTGCATATACGAGATCGCATTGTAGATGCAGCATGTATTGTACAAATTTCTTGCATTTTTGAGACCTTTGTGGTAGATTTACTGTGCTCGAGTTGTTCACTAGAATTTACGACCAAAAAAAAATCGAAACTTTGCGCTGAAAATTTTAAAAATTGTACTATTTTAAAACTAAATGTGCTATTGTCAAGCACTTGTGGGGCATAGCAGTTAAAAAAATATATTTAATGTTCTAAAGAAGAGTCCTTACATCGCAAAGCCTTAGTCAGAGTAAAAAAGCTCAGTTTTGTTATCCAGCCGTCATTCGCATCGCGTTTGGGAATGAAATATCGTTAACTCCAAAACTTATTTTGCTCCGAGTGAGAGCTAAACTGAATTTTCATTCTTTTTCTAAACAAGTATTTTTAAACAAGAATTATTAAAAGCTCCTGAGGAATAACATAAAGGACTTCCGTTAGCAGTTTGGTATGAAAAGTTATCTACCAGATCTTGCGAATAATAAATTTAAAAACACCGCATTCGAATTTAACCGGAACAGTGTGGACGAAGTCTTAATGGGTGAAAAATAACCCAAATAACAGTATTAGCAATAAACAACAACATTAGTAAGAAGGAATTGGTTGCTAAATAAAAAATATATTAGTTATTAAAATTTCAACTATCATTGTCTTAATTAATAACCCTTTCTGCTACAAAAATTAGACATAGAGACAAACAAAGAAACAAACAAACGAAATAATAAAAAAGTGAGAAAGGAAATTAAATAGATGAATAGATTGATCAAAAAGGTGAGAGTAAAAGACCAAACAACTCTTTCTTTTGACGATGTTTCCCGCCGAATCCCACCACACATTTGCACAAGAAAGAGTTATCAGTATCAACACATGTATGATTGACACAATCATCGATGTCTGCAAGAGACGACATCAAATAACTCATCTATGATTACCTTTTAAATAGTACTTTTGTGTAACCAGACTAGCAACCATTCGTTCAAAGTGAAAGACTACAAATTTTAATATCGACGACGATCTGTAGTAAGAGTAGTTATAGATACTTATATTTTCTTTTGAATATCAAACAGACAACAAAAAACAAAACCAAAACAAAACAAAACAAAAAGCATAAAAAGAACCAAATGAACAGGTGATGGCGAAAACAAAGGGAAACAAATTAATGCGTACAGCTACGTGAAACGAACACTTTGAGATTGATAAGATGACAGAGTGGGCCGAAAAAAATTTAAATTCGGAAAATTTGGAGGAGAATTAAGAATTAATGAGATAGTCATCTCACCAATGCAACCGGAACCGGAACAATGAAGCAATATTCCTCAGCAATACAACTTATACAAAGTCATTTTATGATTCTCTTTGTGCCGCGACAGAACTTAAATCAAGATGTAAAAATTTACGGTAGTCCCTAATCGTGGTGATTACACTGGCCACTTCTGATCCGGATCGTGTCATTTCTACTTCAAGTTGACAGGTCTCCTTCAAGCTTCTTCCCTTGAAGACAATTAGCGGTACTTAATAAAAACGTCTTGCTTTATTTCAAAGAGCCATAACCTCAAAAAAGAATTAGCTACCTCTGCAATTTTTTCCATCCCCAGTAAAACCAGTGGGGCAAGGGCCACAAGAAATCGAATGTGATATTTCTGTACATTGCACACCAGGATAACAAGAGTCTCTGTTACAACGCGTGATAGGGATTTCGCAGTGTTTCCCGGTGTACCCAACTTTACATATACAGCTGTAATTGTTCAGGAGATCAATACACGTTCCTGTTGGAAAACACAAACAAATCTACGGTTAAGAATATATGAAAGTCATATATTTGAACTGCTGATAAAGACATGAATGAAAGTGATCCTCGCAGTGATGTGCACTACTTAGGCAGTAGTGAAAATAAGGCCTGAAAAAAAAAAAAAAAAAAAAAATTCAGGGCGGTACGGGATTTTAACCGGTATCGCAGAGGTCATGGGTTCAAATCCCGTACAAGCCTGAAATTTTTTTCAGGCCTTATTTTCACTACTGCCTAAGTAGTGCACATCACTGCGAGGATCACTTTCATTCACAAACAAATCTGCGACATACTTTCAGACAAAGACGTAGACAAAGGCAAAAATATAGACATAGACACAATCATGTCACTGTTTTGTCCTAAACCAGTAGTGTGGGGAGTAGATTTAAGTTATTTTAAACGAGTGTTTATTTCTTTACTTTGTGAAATGACTGGTTAAATTATGATTTGATTAACAAATAGAGTCCGTGTTGCCGCACAGTAATAAATCGAAGACGTCAGAATAGGGCAAGCCGAGTGTGTCATTGATGTCCGTGCCACCTTTTGACGTTTCTGTGATCTATTAATGCGAAAATCTCGGCAAAATTGAATGCACTTGTATTAAATGATGAAAAAGCCAAACGTTGTCGATTGTAATGGTGACGTCATCAATGCGTCTGAACTCCGATATATCATAAATTATGCAAGAACCAAAATTCCTTTAGGATTCAGCTTATCATGTAAAAGTAAGCATATGCTACTATGGAAAAACATAATTTGCTATGTAAAAGATTAAAAAAAAAGGAGCAACTTATGAGTTACCATTTCCACAAGATACCGGGAGACAATCATCAATGTTATACTCGCACCGTGCACCACTGAATCCTGTTTGGCAGCGACAATTAAAGCCATTCACCTGATCAGTGCAATTTCCTTAATGAAATAATTTAAAATATTTTAATATTTTAAATAATTTTTCTTCCATTTTTGAATATGACTGGCGGCAATAATTAAATGAAAAGAAAAGGGCAAAACAAAATCATGCAGTACCGTTAATACATGGAGATGACTGACACTCATCAATATTTACGTCACAGTCTTTTCCAGTGTAGCCAGCTTTACATAGACATTTGTAATCATTAATTTGATCAAAACACGTCCCTGAAAAAGTATACACATACCAAAGCTATGAAAACAACTATACTGACGTAAATCAAACTTTTATAAATATCACTGCAAATGCCAATGATTACAAAAATTAGTGTTAGAATAACTGCTAGCGTTAAAAATAATCCTGGTCACTTCTAAAGTTATTTCTAAAGCCGTTGTTCAAAGTAATGCAAGAGCCTCAATAAAGCTACCTTTTAAGCTACTGTTAGGGCTACTGCTGAAGCTACCACTCGAGCTACTGCTAAAGCTAGCTAATTTTCAATTTTAATTTTTTTGCAAGCTACTACTAAAGTTATAGCTAAAGCTACTGCTTCAACCGCAACCACAGTTGCAGGCTTAGCTTACACAGTCGATGCCAGAGCTAATGCTCTTAGCAGTGTCTGGGCTTGTGCTAATTCCTGTGCTTTCGCTGTTTTATTTTGGAGAGTAATAATACAACGAAATGAATTATTTTAATACCGTAAAAGCAAGGATATGACAGGCACTCATCGACATTCTCATCACAGTGAGTACCAACGTATCCTGGGTGACAATTGCAGATATATCCATTGACCAGGTCAGTGCAACTGCCTGGTTAAGGGAAAGAAAAAAGAAAAGAAAGTGAACAAACCTACCTACAAAGCAAAATTAGAATTAAAACCATGAAAATTTTTTCGAAGAACATAATAGAACCTGTTCGAAACGTTTTGGATTCCAAGCATTAATAATTGCAACAACAGGGGCAGCAGCAATAACGACACCAACAGCAGTAATAGAGCGGTTTTAAAAAAGAAGACAGACACGGAAACACATATGTAAGTAAATGTTCATACCGTTTACACAAGGCGACGAAGCACACTCATCCTGATTTTGATCGCAGTGTCTTCCCACATAACCTGGGTCACATCGGCAACTGTAATTGTTGATACCATCGGTGCAAAGGCCTAACAGCACAATAAGAAAAAACAAATGAACAAACAAACAACAATAGTGTTATACAAAAATTAAGTAGGAAGAAATCGAACCTTTATTATGGTCAGGTATGACATGAGAGAATTATAGCACATTAAGATTCTGACAAGGAAAGACATGCAAGGCTCGATTGCCAACGAGGGTCTTCAGAAATAGTCTTAATGACATAAATTCGAAGATAATGCCCGGTTGCATGCATATTTAAATGGCAGAAAAGAACAAAAATCATGAAATAAATTCCGTAAACCAGTTTTCCAATTCGAGCTGTTCAAAAAATCAAATGCACTCTTTTGCAGTTTCTCTGAGTTCACTACGAACACAATCGACCAGTACAAACTGCCAAGTCTTTCAGACGCATCAATATCGTCATTAGACGCCTTGCTCACCTCGGGAACACGTTCAGGCTCGAAATGATACGGTTCTACTGCAGCCGTGATTTTTTCATGGAAGGGTTGTACTCAATGACGTCAATCAAGATGGCGGCGAAACTTTGGGGGGTATTCTATCTCTGTTAAACATTTTGTTAATGAATAGAAAAAAAAGTGCTTTCCTGGACCCTTCTTCTCCTTCAAGATAAAGTGTAAGACAAAGAGGTACCTGACGTGGGTTACATAGATCATGAGGTATTTGATATGGCTCTTTATCCACAAATTCTGGATTACTAAAGGATGCTGGGTGCGGCAAAACTGGTAAACAGTGCCAACATCGACAAGAAAGATGCTGAGGAAACTTAACCCCAAAGGAGGAAATTTTGGAGAAGATCACTTATCTCAACATTTCTTCATAATAGCTTTGATAATAACGTAAATATTAATCCCGATAAAGGCAACGACAGGTTACATATTTGCCGACAAGGCGAACTGGATACCATCTAATCTTCATGGATGACTTCGGTTGTGTGGAAAGGATGAAATTGAGCTTAATACTCTGAGCTATAGTAGTCTTTAGTCAAAATATGGGAATGCAAATCAGATTCAAGAACTATAAAGTACTGATCCTGGCAAGAGACAAAGCGTTGACCTCGATGTTATTCAACTTCTCAGCGAAATGAAATAAACTTTTTGAGAGTAGGTGACAGCTGCAAAAAACATAGGAGCGATGGAGGGAAACGCAAAGCTGCATGATCAGATAAAAAATTGGATCAACTAGGGTATCTGATGTGTGTCAGAAAGGTTGCTGTACCCAATATGAATGGTGGGAATTAGATTAAAGAAAACTGTATCCGAGTGTAGCACTGATGGGTCTTCCCGAAGGGACTAAGAGTTAAACAAGGAATTAATTTCAAATCCTTGATACTAGAACAAAAAAAAATATTAAAGAGACTCAGAGCTTTGAACAAAAGAAACTGACACCCCTCGTGGTTACCAAGAAAACGCCGACCAAAGTATGTGTCACAAATGACAGGCAAATGGAGCAGTAGGCCATATCGTAAATGGTTTTGGCTTTGTTGGTTTATAGTAGGAGGCACAACAAAGTGACAAGGGTAGTAAACCGTGAGTTGGCATGAAAATACGGTCAAAGCGAGAAAATCTGAGCTCGTAATTCTAAGAAACATAAGCAGATGTCACGTGTTGGGTGATTGAAATCGCAGTCTTTGACGACACAAAGAGGAGGAGTTGACAAATATCAGGCTGAAATAGAGAGATTGTTAAAATGCGAATCGTCTAAAAAGAAAGTTCCAGTGATATCGGGGTGTTGAGACTTTTAAAGGGGATGAAAACAATCTTGAGCGAATTGATGTAGACATTCACTTCAGGGGACAAAAAACTACTCTCCTTGGAATGACTAGAACCTGAAGAAAATTGCGAGACGTGAAATTACATGTTAAAGGATATTTTGAACTTCTGGCAACCTTAAATATCTTTTAAAGACTCAATAACGCGAGACGTTTACAGATCGAGGCTCTTGTTTCTAGTTTTGAGCCTCTCTGTCTCGCAATGAGAGTTAACAGAACCGTTTGAGGATATATTAGAGGCAGAATTTCTCCGCGTTGTATCAACTTTACTGAATTGAAGACGAGCAAAAAAAACTGAGACGACTTACATACGAGATAGGGATTGTTATCCTTATTGGTTCTGAGTCACTGGATTGTCGAATTGCAGTCTCAGCACAATTCATATTAGTTTGTAATCGTTAGGTATCGAATAAAAATCGTCAAGGGGGCATTGTAGACTTACTCAACCTTTACCTAACCTCTATTACTTTTAGTACAAGAGAAAACTTGACAATCAGTAGCACGAAACAGCTATTATCGCAAAAAGTTTGTACAGAACATCCTGCAGGAACGGAATACTTCGACTTGGTAACAGACCAAACAACCTTTACGATGCATTTATTGCCGAACACCAGTCGGAATAATCGACACACCTCAACGAATTAAAGGCGGGCACAGTTTACCGGAGTGGTCAAAGAAGAAGAGAAACCTCCTTGCCGTATATTATAGACTTACTATACGAATTACATTGGGAATGTTCACGATGACTAACCTACTGCGCAAACTACTTTCAACGACTGATTCCAGAAAGCTGGTTAACTAGCTTAGAATAGACTCTCATCAACGGATGTACAACTACCAGAACCATACAAAAGAACTTTAAAGCAAAACAACCAAACAACAATCACAACTAACAACTAACTTTCGCTACCTGAGTCAATTAAAGAACGTAACAACTCATCAGTCAGTTTACAAGAATCAAATTTATAACCTTATACTGGCCGAAAACTCTCGAATCCGATGACGATTTCATCTTAGCTCGTCGAGAGGTCAGTCATTACTCCCAAGAGAAGTCCTTTGCAGATCTTAGCTCACCAAGAAGATCAGATTACCAGATCAAACCTATATTTGGCAAATATCTACTCAGACTACACGAAGCTAAAAATCGCAAACCGGTGCGCTACTTCTAAAAATAATTGCAACAACAATTACAATGACGATAGTGAGGATAATAGTAACCAGAGTGGTCAGCAAAAAAATTGAAAGAAAAATACCTTGGACACATGGATAAGTCTGGCACTCATCAATATTTGTCTCGCATTTCGCCCCTGTGAATCCAGGTGGGCATTCGCACAAGTAAAAACCTGATCCTCTTGGTGCAACTGGCGAACAACTTCCGTTATTTTGACATTGGCAGTTAACTAAGGAAATAGTAATGTTAAAAGTGGTCGAGGCGCTGCAGATGTCTGTTGCTAGTAAGTGAAATATGGTGATTCTGTCTGAGGTGACGTTCCAGTGAAGAATGTTGTCTCTTAGCATTGCATCTTTGGGGCCTCCACCCAACAGTGAAATAATGACAGGCATGCCTTCGGGATCAACTACATCAAACACCAATTCGAGGTTTTCGCCATATAACGCGTAGTAATCCTTGCGAGACGTAATATTAGGTGGATGGTTGACTGCAAAATATCGAGTGGATATACAAGTAGGTCGTTGTCGTCACACACTGGGCTGAGGAAACAGTCTCAGTTTGAAACTTTAGAACAAAATTTTAAACACAATACGTTCCGCTATTTTTCTTTCCTCAGCATATACAGTGTGTACAGGATATAGGGTTTCTTACGCATGCAGATGGAATTCTCCGAGTGCAGTTGAATTTCTTGACGGGGAAGTTATTCATTGCACGTATTCGGAAAGACGTTACGAAGTAGACGAGAACAGAAATGTTTGAGCTTACAGAAATACAAAACAATACTAAAATAAATTTGGCCACTTTACATTTTCTACGGAGATCCATTAAACCAACAAAAATTCTAAACATGCACCGGTAATAGTTACGGTAAGTTGGAAAGTCTTAAAGGAGGTCAATAAACGGACTAAATTCGAAACAACAACTATATGATTAAGCCGAAATGTCATTGACCTAAGCTGAGCTTTAAGGCTCATAGATTTATATTTCAAGACCAAATCAAAACTTTCGAGTAACTGAAAATACCTCAAAACAATTTTTCAGGTGCTGGTTTGATTATAGCTGACATTGTTTTTACTATAAAACCATTGCTAGCTGTTTAGACGAAAAGGAGCTATAAAAAATAATGCGCATCAGTAAAATTATCTTAATTAATCAAATAACTGGTAAGAATTGATAAGATAAGTGGAGGACCAAATAGCCCCATTTGAGGTTTAACTGCCTTTCTATTTGTTTGTGGCTTTTCATTGGCACAGATTGTGTATTAAATAGATCTTAAAATGCAAATCGACTTTCTTTCATCATATTTATAGTATTCGTTTTTGGGCGTATTACATTTTACCCTTTCACTACCTACTACGTATATGCTACTTTCATTTGTAGAAGAACAAAGAAACAGAAATGCAAGAAGGTCACCTTGCCGTTTCGTCCAAGTGTTTTTATCAACATCGGGAAGACACTGAAAACACCAGTCACCAGGATGTACTTCGTTCGGAGCGAAACAATAATTGTTAATGAAGCACGAATTATCCTAAACCAAAGAAAAAATTAAGATAATCAATATAATAAATTGATAAAAAAAAAAATAAATGCACATAAGTGGAACTTAGTATTACAAAAAAAAAAATAGGATTTCAAATACAAGAAAGAGTGCTTCAATACCGCAGTACTCACTGAGGTTATGCTGATAGGGTTAGCACACTCACCTAAGATATTTTTTCGCAGATTCTCACAAAAAATGGAAGTGGCTCGCACCATCAGGCAGACATTTAATCTTGAGAGGTTCGGTTGCCTGATTCATTCAGAGTCTTTTATGGTTTACGAAATAAAATACCCAACCTCTCTTTTGATTCTTCTCGCAGCATTTGCACATAAGCCGCACAAATAACATAGATACCACTTAGCGTCTTTTACCTTAAGATAGCATCCGTTTGATACATTGCACGCCATACAAGCTGAGTCGTAGGAAATAAGGATCAAATTTTGATTGCTTTTGTGAACACCGTCGTTAGACACAGATACTTTTAGTCCCGCAGCAGGAGTTCCGCCGATATTTTCGTCGAAAAAGCCTTGCTTTACTGGTGAGTCTGGTAGGAAGCAATCTACGAGAAGCAAGTCGACCATGATCCCAGGAAACCTAAGCTCCCTTGTTTTTGGATTCCACGAACTGTTTACAACCTTTAAGTCGAAAAAAAGGGTCATAGTGTTTAGCACACAAAATAAAAAGAAAACATAGAAAAAGGTTAACAATGAATTCAATAAAAGTAATTAAAACGATAACTGATGGTAGTAATAGGATTGAGTGGAGTCCAATTCGATCTGTAATCATACGTGTGATAACAAAATTGGACGACCGCGAAGCAGGAGTCCGATTTGTTGTTCACGCGTATGATTAACTGACCGAATTGGATGATACGAAGAATTTCCCCTCAAAAGAAGAATAGCGAAGGAACTCGTTTGGATTGTTAGCATAAACATTTCTGCAATAGTGTAAATCAAATCATCACTGTCGTCTAAAATATTGTTATTGTTAAACGAAAAAACTTTCCCATTTAGAAGAAAGCCCCAATTGAGGAGTCGATACACTGTTTCAATGATGACTGAGACCAAAGTTGGGATTGGTTGATGTAAACTACAATTTTGAAGTGATTGGCTTATTGAACTGTCCAATAACAAAATTTCGGATAACACATATTGGCAAGTGAATAAGTGGAAAATAGGAACTGTTTAAACCAATCAAAATCGAGAAAAGTGTAATGTTTATGATTAGGAGAATATTTATATTGATAATGATAATAATCATAATAAAAATAAAAAGATGATAACCATGATGGAAATGGTAATGACAATGATGAAGATGATGGTGATGACAAATATATCGCTATTAATGACAATCACGAAAATTGTACCTATTGTAATGATTGCAATATCGGCAATATTGATGAAACAGAATGATACAGTTGTACCTTTGATCATGTGAATGAGGTTAAACTTAAAAGTTTTCTATCGTGCCAAGTTAGGAGGTTTCTTAATCTTTTATCTTAAGACGTAAATCAGGATACGTTCTTATTTGCAGTTGAATTGACGGAGATAATTTTTGATCCCTTCCTACTCAATTAAACTTTTCTTGGAGGGTAAACAACGATAATAGGACTAGTTCATTTGTTGTTAAATTAATGTATCAGTTTCTTTTCTTACCTTAAACTCTATTAAATGACAAGTTAAATTTGTAGAGTTAAGCCATCCAGTTCCCATCACTGTGACTTTCTTACAGGGGCGAATTCGTCGATCACACAAACCATCTCTTTGCAATCTGATTAAGAAACCACAGATAGTCTTTTTTAATGAGCCCAAAGCACTCTTGCTGCTGTTCTTCTCTGAAATATTTTATCAACTTTAATAAAAATCCTTACCGTCATGAAAAAGGATCCATTATTGGTTTAACGGCACGATACCCAAATAAATAAAGAAATGCATAACAGTTCCATCAGTTGATATGATTGAGGGAAGCTATGGTGGTGGGAAAAATTGCCCGTAATAATCGAATAGCACTTATTCTTACTTTGAGATGCTTGGCTTTTGGTAGAGAGAAATGGAACAGTCCTCTGCAGTGTAGTCCTTGTAGCAAACGCAAGAACCATTGACACAATCGCCATTGAAAGCACAATCATTCGGACAAAGGAGTTCCGAAATCTCCTTCTGTAAGGAGCCCACTCTTTCTCTTCCATCGCTGCTTTCATTTGAATTGGCTGACGACGCATTAATTGCGGTTACATATCCGCATTCATTTGTTAACATAGAAACAATGCCCATAGCAAACGAATGATCACCTGTTAACTGCAAGATAGAAATGATAAAGAAACATAAATTACCTGTAACAGGTGTGAGACCAGACATGGTTTGATGCTACTCTACGTTGCAAAGAGAAGTCCTTTCATAAAAAAATAATAAATTCAGCTTTATTGGGGCACACATGCCTAACTAACCATACAGTTGAATGGGATTAAGTCTAAAATTATCACCACTTATTGGTGTTACCACCGACGCCTTTGTTTGGAAGCCCGGCATATCAACTCTGCCGACTCTCCTTTAAATCCGGTGATGATGGCGGCTTACTCCCTGACGTCTATTTACACCTCGTCAGAAAAAAAGGCCAGCTTATTAGTGAACCTATGAAAGGACCTCTTGTTGCAGCGTTTAGATCACCTCTGATGAAGGCACTAGACAGGAGTGGCGAAACGTTGGGTCTATGAATTGTAACTTCTCGGGGTTACATTCATTAAATCTTTAAACCAGAGTAGCATCAAACCATCATGTCTGATTGTCCACCTGGTTGCCATGTGAACTTTAATATATTTTAGGTGTGGGACCATTAAATGGTCAAGGAAAACGTTACTTCGTTTCCCAATGATTCATAAGGTAATGCTTTCCTTTCATATGCCTCACTGAATAGCTACAGATAAATAACATGCTGCACTAAACTATGTACCGAAACGAACGAAAGTGTTGTGGATGCCCTCTGGAAAGGTATGCTATGGAAATCAAAGAATTTTTTCATTCTATTATATGAAATGTAATTTTCTCTAACATGTTGCCCTTTTGTATTCTGTGTTGAACACACCCGTTTCTTATGACCTATACAGTCGGCGACGGCGAGCTCAGAAGCGCTACCTAATAGTAAAGATCGATAAAGAACCAAACGATTTCACGCCTTAAAAAGAAAGTTGACGAGTTTTAATACCAAACCATGTGAATCACATCTTTGTAATACAACACCCCACGCGAAAGAGCTCTAAGACGCTTTTAAAGGCCATTTATATTGACACCTTCAAGTTACTATTCTACTGAGTCATTTTGTACCTACCGAGATATCAAGAGAACAGCTGTCCACAAATGATTGCACATCAACGCCCTGATTTGCACAAATTTTCCCAACTTTGCTATTCGCTATCCTCTCAACACAGTAATTAGTTGCATTTTTGAGGGGGATCACAGTGGCAGGTAATGCTCTCCCGAAGCGATGACGGTTCTCAGACGGAGGAAGCTTTTTAAATAATTCATAATCTTCAGCGGTCAACTCATCAGAGTAATATACTTCTCTCTTTTTTATAAGGTCGCACAGAGTGAACGTTGTTTTTCTACGTTTTATGAAAGTTGGAACATGAAATGAAGCCTGTCCACTACATAACGGTGCATAGTCCGCCGTAGTATCATCTATATTTGGGGGAAGTGTATCAAAATAGCTTGTACCGGGCTGCAGTCTAACAAAGAGAAAGGAAATGAAGATATACAGATTGAAAATAACGAATATAATAGCCTCTTTGAAATAATCTATCAGCAAAAGCATTTCGTCGTCTAAAGAAGAACCAACAAGTAATCAATTGTCCAAACCATCTAAATATTAGATACGGAGACATCATGCGAAACAAAGGAGCACAACTGGTCCGTATGCATAATGATGGCTTACGCAGGGAGTTCCACCACATCGAGCCGAAAAATTAAAAATTTTGTTCCTGAATTCAGTAAATAGATACAATAAGCAAACAAGATGTATGCCCGAGAAACAAGTGTCGCGTTTGGAACTGCGGCAAAAAGGTTTAATATAATAACTTCCGAAGTTGGAACTTGAACACAAAAGAACATATTGTATGGATTGAAGCCAGTACCTTTGCTGTTCACCATAACTTTGGATGCTCCCTTTTTCGTACAGGCAGATACCAGACTCGTCATTGCGTGATTTTGCTCGTTGAGTGATAATGGTGACATCGATTCCCCAATAATTTCGCACGATATCCACTTGCACTCCCGTTGGAAAAATCACCTAGAATCAGTTGGACCAAAAATTTGTGCAACAAAATATCGTAAAATGATATAAAGAATACACACTAACAATAGACGCAATTTAATGAAACAAGAGTGAGAAATTGGGTGGCCTGTTCTTGATGGCTCACCAAAACTCCACTGTTATCTCTTATCCTTTCTTTTCCTAAACTGTTTTCAAGCCTTAGTTAAAGACATATCACAACGGAATGAAAAGGTAAGTGGAGAAGTAAAAGGAAGTTTCAACAAAATGACATGACCAAAGTTACGTGAAATGAGAGAAGAAAAAACTTTTATGATGTGATTGATAAATTATGCATTGCATTGGAATAAGCTTCAAAAGGAATTCCCATGGTCAAGTGGATAAAAAAACCCCTCCATTTCTGAATTAATGTGTGTTTAAATTTGAATACGGATAAACCTTCTATTAAGAAATTAAGTTCTCGAAGAATTACCGTGTAGTCATTATTTCCACCGTTGAATTTTTTCGCTAAGTGAATTCCCGGCCTCAGGCACTTTTTGCTTCGTAATTTGACTTGCAAGGGTGTAGGGTGTGTATTTTGAAACATCAGGTCCTTGTTGCAACAGTTAAATTCAATGACATCATTGTGATCTCTAAGAACTGCCCCACAGTTGCATGTCACTCCACGACGGTTACACGCCCACTGTCTTGTGTGGACCTATCATAAGAAAAGTTTAATTTTCAAGTTCAAACAGCGATGCGACGACTGCAATTTCTGTTTACAACTACTTGTCTAATGTTACTCACTTTTATATAACATCATAAGTCCAAACCGTGTGGGGTTGCACATGTAACGAAAAGGGGAGCCGGGTGTCTTTTACCAACGCCCTACGTAAACTGTTTTAATTCTATGTTAGAGCGAATGATAAGCGTAGTGCAGAGGTTTAGGCTCCAAATCTAAGTCTAAGTAAACGAATGAATTTTAAATCAATAAATAGACTACAAAGGGTTTTATCAAAACTGAATTGTTTTAACGTTGTCGTCTGTACGCTGACGTATTTATTTGAAAGAATCCGAATAAGAAAGTACATATCAGCCAAAAGCACCTAGCTAACTACATTGAACAACCAACTGAAGAAGAGAATCATTGTGTCATATCCCAAACTGGGCATATGATCTTGACTTTGGTTGACTTTTTGAATCAATCTTGTCGAATTTAATTAAGGCAAACCTATGGGGTTGAAACTAATACATTTTGGGTTTACTTACCTCAAAGTTTTTTTCTTGATTTCTGTATAAGACAAAATCTCCATGGCCCATGAAATCAAATCTCCTGGAAGGAAATGAATCAGAATCTCAAGACCTTTTTACTTATTAACCAAAATGCGGTCAGTTAGCGCTATACCTGGTAGTCCCTAACTTTTCCATGGCGTGGTAGTGTGGATCCGTATAGGCCTTACACTGCTCTACGTGAGTCATTATAATGGAAACCTAGAACAGAAAAATGGGCACATAAGACAGCATTTTAGCTATAAATTGCTGTCCTGTTCTGTATAACTGACAAACAAACAAACAAAACAGACAAAAATTAACAAATGCAGCATCATTGTTTCTCTTGAAAATTTCAGTTGAGAAAAATGGACCGCAGCTTTGTTTTTGATACTAATATACAAAGTTAGCCAAGCCTAAGAGCGGAGCTCTTAGTTCATTTTCCAGCCCTTCACTGAACTTAAACACTTTATCTTATAAACTACGGTGTTATACAAGAATTTCCAGCCCCGAGAGAAGCCATTACAACACACGCTAAAATGTACGATATTTTTTCACTTGTGTTTGGTATTGCCAGTCAGCTGCTGGCACGTCAAACGCCTTTTGTGCCACTCGGTACAGTTCATCAATGCACGGCAAAGCCTTTCACCATTCTCAATCCAAGCTCGTTATGTCGGAATTTTCTTGGAATACGGCTGCTAAAACACTGAAAAATCCGTATCGCTTACAGACAGTGACGTTTAAACTTTTCTTGAAGGGGAAGAAAACCAAGATACGAAAAAAAAAATGAGAGTTGCATATTTAGTGGTTTTGGTAATGGCAACCGAAGGTCGATGTTCTCACAACTTGCAAAGCGATCAACACGTCTGCTAGTCAGTGGTATTACAAGCAGCTTAGGACTCTAGTTGATATACCAGGTGTTTTGACCGAATTTCGACGACAGGGAATGATTTCTTCTTCAGATGAAGTGTATGATGTCAGCATCGGTTGAATATTCTATTGAGCGTGACTGATAATTTCGGTTTTGCGAAAATAAGTCAAAATTGAAAACGACGACAAACGACTTCAGTAAGGACATCACCGGTCCTCTTGCGCCACGAATGTTTGATTTAAAGGAGGAAAGCTATAACTTGGATATCATAATTGAAATTGATGATGGAGAGGAACTTAAGATTCCACCATAAAGATATCTGTAGAAACCTTTGAATAATATCTGGATTTCATTTATACATCATAGAAATCAATTCCAAACATCAATCAAGTTTGCGTGTTAGTATCAAAGCTCAGTTAATATTGTTAAGGGCATACTAAAGAGATTGAAAAAATTTGGATGGTTTCTCTCATGTTTTCAGATAAATGAATTTACTGGAGGGAGGAGTCGTGTCAACATGTAAACATGAAAAACAACAATAAGTTTTATTGATATGTAAAAAGTTTTCATTTGAATATCAAATGCAACTATTTGTACTATATCTCAACCTAATGATTTTCCACAACTTGTACACACCATCATGAAATAATTAGTCATGAAAATCCATGTCATTTGCCAAGCCATGTTCAGAATAAGCTAATAGGATTGAGGAGTGAGTATGTAGGAATAGTCTCGTTTGTTTTTTTTTTGCTTATCGCTCCCGTTGCCAATGTTTTGACGAGGTTGGGCTGTCAGGGCAAAGGAACTAAGGATTTAAGCAGGCAAGCAGATTTAGGGGAATTATTCAAAGGAAAATTGACTTCTTTTAAGCCCTGAAACTATTATTGTGAAAAGTCATACTTGTGCTAGGTAACTATTTCTTACTCTGATAAATTAGTTTTAAGAAGAGCACAGTGTTTTACAACAAAATTTTGATCCATAGGCTGTGCACATTTATGTATTACATGAATATTAACTGATGCTAGGAGATCTAAGAATATTCAAAAGAATATAACACTTGGTTGAAAAATTAGAATTCAGCATGGGCCGGATAAACAAGATTCCTTGGAAAAGAAATGTGTATTAATGAAAAAGCTGAAAAATTTTATCACAGTCCCCTGCCTGTACCTGTACCTGTACCTGTACCTGTACCTGTACCTGTATGACACGTAGTAGCCATTCAAGGTAGCTGCACTGGATTTTAATGTTTAAAACACCCATACCCATGCAGGTTTCCTATAACCCTGTATTTCAAGTCTATAATGACTTAGAGACTTTGTTGCATGCCTCAACAGGAGAACAAATAAATTCCAAGTTCCTATTTATTCAGTTTAGGCTAGTCAGCTAAGATTAAGAAAAACTTTCATATGACGACAGGATCAAGACATTTTTACTTCTAAGTGATAAAGGTAGCTTACCTGGGATAATAACCTTCATGTGCACTTTAGACCAAGTTTGTACCGATAACAGGGAAAATCTCCTTTTTACTGGAAAATAATAATCGAGAATCGGTACCAAACCACAGCCCTGGGTCAGCCATAAAGAGAGTGCTTTAAAAATATCAATTTGCTTATGCACAAAAAAACTATCCATGGTAAGATAGTGAGAGTGAATGAGACTGATAATGGCCATTTTATTTGATTAAATATCCAAAGGAGGACAAAAAGTAGGATATGGTCTGTACAACTCTCTTATTTTAGTTTCTTATCCATTAAACCTAAGGCATAAATATTCTTGCTTTGTGCATTACGTGACACCAATTAATTCCATCTTCATACGTCAAAATACAAAAAAATTATCCATTCATCTATGTGCCCTAACCATTAAGGGGTAGGGGCAGGTCAAAGGAAAAACATGAATTGAAATAGGAGGGCTCCCGCTAATTTCGATCCTAATTAAAGGGAGCTCCGAGCTTTTCCAGATTTCTAACCTTTAAAACTCATATCTTGTGACCAATCGTTACGAAAATTTTTCTAAGTTAAGTCCTAGAACATTCTACAGAACGGTCTAGAACCCGAAGTCATCCAGCCGTGACCTTCTTGTATAACAACATTCTGGAACGTTCTATTTATTTTGTAATTACTCAGATTTAGAAACCGTGTTAATCTTCTTAATTTAATTCTTTAGAGAAGTTTCTCGATCCTTGGAATTTATGTTTATAAGAGCGATAGTTTCATCAAAAAAGAGAGAAGTGTGAAGAAGCTTTGTGCTGTAAAGTCGAGAAGTCAGCTACGAGGAAATAAATCAGTTTGTTGCTGTTACCAACGATCCTAAGTTTTGTCTAGGAACAACCCTGCTCTTATCGACACTCGCAACATTGGGGACCTGTTCGGGAGCGCAGAAACTTGTTTGCTGGACTATCGTAACCAGGAGAGGTACAGGACAAACTTGGCCGAGTGGCCTTACTGTTCTGTGTGAACCGAATCGCGTAAAAGAAGGTTTTATTGTCATCCTGTGTGAACATCTGTTGACTGTGTGTCATATAATTTGGTGAAGTTTATCGAGTTAGGCAAAATATTTGGCCTGGAAGGAGCTGAGTTGCTTTCATTTGTGGAGAAACGTAGAGAGGAAGAACGCGAGGAGTAACGAAGAAAAGAAGACGAAGAAAAAGAAGAGAGATTGAGAAGAGAAGAAGAAGAGAAGGAAGAGAGACGTAGAAGGCAATATGAGGAGAGGGAAGCTCGACGACAAGAGCGCGAAATAATAAAACTTCAGGCGGAGACTGAGCTTCAGAGACAAAAGGTGGAAGCTGAAGAAGCTCGGAGAAGACATGAGCTAGAAATGAAGCGTTTAGAGTTGGAACAAACCAATCAGGGGCCTGGGGCTCAGGCACATAATAAAGAGGAGAGAACTACCCTCCTTTGAGGACGGAAAAGATAATTTTGATGCTCATCTCCAGCGATTTGAGAGATTTGCATTTACTGCAAAATGGGAGAAGGCTGGATGGGCTACCAAGTTGAGTGCTTTACTCTCAGGCCGAGCTCTAGAGGTCTACTCCCGCCTGTCGGAAGAAGCGGCGTCTAATTACGACAAATTGAACATAGCCCTTATGAGAAGGTATGACCCTACAGAAGATGGTTATAAACGTAAATTTAGGGCCTCAAAGCCTGAGATTGACGAGAGTCCAGACCAGTTTATTGTTCGATTGTCTACTCACCTGTTTTGAGCTATCAAAAACGGAGAGGAGCTTTGACGGACTAAAGAACTTGATTGTTAAAGAGCAGTTCATAAATTCATGTCCAAAGGAACTTGCTGTTCACTTGCGTGAATATACACCTGAAGCCCTAGAAGAGATGGTGAAAATTGCTGACCATTACTTAGAGGCGCATGGGAAGCACGTATTTAGTCCCGGGCAGAACAAGCCGCCTACACCACCGGAGAGGGATGACAACAAGAAGCCACCAACTGATATAACACTACTGTAATGTTACAGATGGAATGGCCGAGGGTATAGGTCTGTTAATTGTCCTACCAGGAAATGCTATTTGCGTGGAAGGCATGGCCATGAAGCAAGAAACTGTAAATCCGGTGTGCCAAAGTCAGGAGGGCAACACAAGTACGGAATCCCTATGCCGCGAAACCAGGTTAGTGCCGGATGTTTAGTACAGTCATCTCCACCACAAGCTACGGCAGAAGATATTAGGTCATGCATCGAGGGCGACCAACTCCTATTAGCCTGTGGTAAGAAAATCTCTTTACTGAGTAGTGCCTGTGTTCAACCTTAATACGGAGCGAGGGGCAAGATATCAGTTGTCAAAGGGAAGATAACGGACAAGACTACGTTGTTGTTTGACAATACTTTGAGGAAGGTACCAACTGTTCGAATCACAGTAGATAACCCTACCTCTCTGGGGAAGTTGACGTCCAGTACTTTCCTGACGGGATCTATGATCTGGTAATCGGCAATGTGGCAGGCGCCCGATCGGCAGACGATCCAGACCCCGGCTGGCAAGAGGCATGAGCGGTCACTAACAAGTCGGAGTCAAGCTAAGAAGGAAGGAAAACACCAGCCGCTTAAAGTTGCAAGCAGTCATAAAAGTGCAACTGTGTGTAGAAAAGAGCTTGTGAGATTGCAGCGCGAAGATAAAAGCTTGGAGAAGTACTGGTAGGGGGTGAGTTTTGAAAATTGCCCATGAAGTGTTACAGAAAGCCCAGTAGAAGGGAAAACACTATTATGATCGTAAGACCAAAGTAAGAACCTTCCAGCTAGGACACAAGGTTCTTGTGTTGCTGCCGAGTGATCGAAATAAGTTGCTGATGCAATGAAAGGTCCCTACGAAGTTAATTCTGTAGGTGGTTCCAATAATTACAAAGTGAAAATAAAAGACAAGCTGAAAGTCTACCATGCTAACCTCTAAAAGAGGTACATCTGGCGAGAAGAGGAGAAAAGTGGTACGTCCAAGCATGAAAATTTCTCCTCTAACAGTTTTTTTCGGTCTTTGGCATAAGAGGCAATTTTGATCTGCTTCATTGCTGCAGTTTTCTTGCATAAATCAAACAGTTCTCCATTTTTTTCTCCCTTTGCCGCCACCACTTCCTTCAATGCCTCTCTCTCACTTTGAAATTCGAGAAAATTTTGGCTCGTTTTCTCTACCGTAGCACCTTACTCTTTATATCGTTGAAAGCGTCTTCGCATTTAGCCTCGTCCTCAGGCCGTAATTTCGTCGTCAGATCACTGAACTACGAGAACTCCGAGGCGGCCTATTACTTAATGTTACATATTTCTCCCGAATCTGTAATCCTATTGCTCTGTTTTGGTTTTGGTTTTTTTTCTTTTCCTCGCAGAGCCTGTTTTACTAATATCTTTGAGTTTGCCAGCCAAAGGGTTAATATTCAGTGAAAAGATAAACCGCATTTAAGCAGTTTTATTTTTTAAATTCCGTCTTTAACTTTTTGGCATTTACTCTTTGAAAATTCATAAATGGCAATGCTTTTTCAACGTTGTAATGAGGTACTACACATGTCCACATGTCCAAAACCGGAATTATGAAGTCAACTTAATTTCAATGAGTTTGAAACTTTCCTCTACAGCACATGAATTGAGTTTACTGCAATTATATTTCTTTTGTGTCTTTCTCACATATATGACTATACCAGTCTTAAAGACGGTAATTTATTTACATCGTAATGATCACATTTTACGTATTCTTTCAAAAAGCATTTCATAAAGTAGGAAGTCAAATTTGTTCGATCCCCTGGGGGCAAAAAGTGCTTGTCACGTAAAATGCTTGCCAATAATGGATAAAGTCGAGCGTCTGTGTTCTTGAACAAGTTGGTGCAGATGGCGACGTGTAAAACCAACATAGCCTGCATCGCACAGGTCACACTGGGATTTATAAACAAGGCACTGTTGCTTCACAACCGATAGCTTTGCTCCTCGTAACTTGAGATCTTGTTCGATCTTCTGGCTGACATATACCGGCTGTTCGGTCGTATAGATCTTTTGACTGAAATCTTTGAGTTGAACTCGTACAATATCGGCTGAGGCCTGATCTTTAAACGGTAGGACAACAGACCTCATATTGTGCACTAACAAATTTGACTGCTTACTTTATGAAATGTTTTTTTAGTCAAGAACTGAGACCTGCTCTCAATGTGCAGTCGGACTCAATTCGTGCAAAGGTTTTTAATTAGGTTTTAATTGTTTTTATTTTTTAACTTTTATTTTTTTTAATTAGCTTATAATTATTTCTTCTTTTTTGTAAGTTCTTGTCCGTTTACACTTTCAAAAATTTTTTACACTTCTTACACGCCTATATATATTCATCGTTACATTCTTACCACTCACTTGAAAATGACCGAAGTTGGGTCGAAACGTCGTATTTTACCGTTAATTTTTACTTTCAAAAGAATGCATATTTTGCAGGTTAACTTCCTCCATTGCCTTTCATGTTTTTGATCAAATAAAATTTAATCATTCGTTGGGTTTACCTGCATGTGTCCAATGACCAGAGCGGACTTGATTCATCTCAGATGTCAGCTGGTAAAATGTAGCTTCTGAAATTTTATTGCCTTATAGACGTAACGTCAAGAAAATCTCACTGAGGTGGCTATTGATAATGTAATTTTGAAAGATTTGGTTTGGTGATTGGCTTGTGATATTTAGAATGATGGTATCATATGACTTGTACAGTCATATACTTTGAAATAACTAAAAAATGTAGTTGGGCGCGGCGGAGAACTATATGGCAATGGTTGGTTACGAGTTTTCATTGGTTGTTTTCTTGTAAATAAAGGCAATTTTTCCATTATGGAAAAACTTCGATTTTTAAACCAAGTTTGATTTTTAAATCGAATTTATAATGTGTTCGTGAAGGTTATCGGTCCAGGTGGGCGAACATTTATAAATTTTTGACCAGTCGTAAAAATGTCTCGTTAGTATCGTCAAAAACGAGAAGAGAAATTCCATATTTTCGCGCGCCCATGTATTATTCTCTGTGCATTATTCCTGATACTAGTTTATAAGAATAAGGGGTCATCTAGAGTACAAGTATGGCTTTTCATAGTGATAACTCAAAAAGAAAATTCTCTCATTAACACTTCCCTTAAATTTCTATTTGCTAAAACCTCAGTCCCATGACCTGAAAGTCCAACCTCATCAACTAGTCAGTAAAAATCGAGTCTGTTCCCGCATACACCCTCCACAATCCTGTTAGCTTATGCTGAACACGGCACGTTAGACATGGCGCATATGCCACAAATTTTCCATTTAAGTATATGAAGTATATTGCAAGATGTGCCAGCTTGTTACTGCATTAGTGGAAAGATAGAAGAAAAAACTGTATAAATAGAGTTATTGCACTCAAACAACTGAACTTCAAAACGAAAGGGAAAACTTGATTGATGTTTGAAATTAATTTGTTATGTACAATGAAATCCAGGTATTTTGATAGGTTTCTTAAAATATCTTTATTGTTGAATCCTAAATTTCTCTTTATTAACAAGTTTCAAAAAAGATTTTCTAATTCTAGCTCGTCTTTGTATAAATCAAACTTCCGCAATGCAAGATACAGAATAGACAAATTTCGTATTTCAGTGAATAGCGTTGCCAAGATCATGGACAGTTGCAGCAGTGGTTATCGTATTAAATAACAGAAATATCTCAAAAGATGCCGTAATTTCCAGCCAGGGACAATCAGGAAACGTGAATAGTCGAAAGAGAGGAAGTATAAACAAGTGTTAGTATCAAATAAGTTATAAGTATAGATGATAAAGGTTTAAACATGAGGTACAAGTGATTTCTCTGTTCAATTTTCTACGCTCACCAGGGATTTGACACGATACAGAAAAATTGGCGGAGAAAACAGTCGTAGCCGGCGACATCAAGAGAAGGTAGAGGAGACGCCCAAATGATTCTGGCGTATTGTTTCATTGACTCACTCACTGTTCTCACACGGACCCGTCGACCAATCGACTAGTGATATATGAACTTTGGTTTCTTTCAATTAAAACTAATTTACCTATTTGTTTACCTATAGAACTACATATATTTAGCGATATAGATCGCCTATTGTCCATTTTCTGACGTAGAATAAGGTTTACTACTGGCTAACATGGGTATTACTGCGTTTCAAGTCAAGCGATTATTAACTAAACTTTAATAAACGTAGAAGCTTTTATAGCGAAATAACTTACCCATATAGTGCGTACGAAAGTTTTCTGCCAAAACTTATTATTGGGCATCATCTTAACAACGATCACCTTAGTTGATTTAGTATCTTTTTCCAGGGCAGTGCAATCTGGTACGACTTCCACATCAACAGGATCTGTTCCTTGGAGCTTAAATTCAGTACTTAAGCAATTTTGGTTAGTGCTCCGATCTTTAATCCGAAGCTTTAATCCTTTTTCTGGTAGTATAAATCTTGCCCTGGAGTAGCTGTTCGTAACTGGGTCTAGCCTCGCAGGAATGGTTGGACGTATTGTAATCTTGTTGCCTTTTTGCTTACTGCAGGCGTTCAGATCAATTCTTAGAGTGGTTGGAGAGACCTGCAGTAAAAAAAAAGAGTCGAAGGAACATGGGTCACTACACAATTATCTTTTTTTTTTTTGCAACGAAAGCGCTATTTTAATCACCCGCATCCACTAACTTTATAAAATATAGATTTAACCAAGCCTAAAAGAGGTGTTCCGATTACTATTTTACTGTTCTTACTTCGTCTCCCACATGCTGTTCAAGGACAAGTAGCTACAAGTAATCGATCACCTAAATGAGAACGGTGGGAAGAGAAATGAAGATTCGAAGCAAAGTTTATTAATAACAAGAGAGCGAGCAACCTTTTTTAAAATATCTCATCCCTTTCTAGGTTCATTGGACATTATTAAAGGGAGAGGGATAATTTGATTTCCAATATTTTTGTGCAATGACAAAAGGACGGTGAAGAGCATAGCGAAATAAACCGAAAGAATTTCTTTTTGACCACCGATTAGGAATTCCTTCAGAGTAACAAGTTCTTCGTACGTGGAAATTTTCTCCTTTACAACCAATTTGATCGCTCCATTTTAATGTGCATTCATCAGTGTTGTGAGACATTTGCAAAAGCTTTGCGATACTTTATTTTAGGTTACTATTTCTAAGCCATTCTTTGATAACGAAATTGGGCATTATATCTACTTCTCAGTTAACGATACGTTTACCTCGGTACGACCCTAAAGGACAAACATCAACACGCAGTTTACAAGAGAATTCGAAGAAAAATGTGCAAAAGAATTCGGAGAAAAACTCATTACAGACAACAGTTTACAGGAAAATGACACATAGCAAAAGAATACGATGAGAGTCATTCTACAACGCGATATCACAAGGAGGCACGACTATCGAGACTTTAACATGACGAACGCAAATAGTATACAACGCGACAGATAACAGACAGGGAGCAGTTTCTATGATCAAGAGCTCCGACTTCCAAGCCTCCTACATCGGAGAGACTGGCAGAAACCTCACGGAAGACTGACGGAACGAAAGTAAGCAACGAGAAAAGGTGATGCCGACAATCACATCGCTGAACATCAATGACTTACGAACCACATTATTGACTGGGATTTTTTGGTAGTGTCTTACCTACAGTTCTAATAATTTTCAACGAATGACTGTGTAAAGCGGGTTTACCTACTTAGAACAGACTTCCTTCAACAGGTGTCAACTACCAAATTAGAACAGACCCCTTCAGCAGGTGTCAACTACTGCGGGCACCATACAATCGACTTATTTACGACTTTAACTTCTCAAACGAAACGAAAAGAACGACCTACTTTACCGACCGATCGAAACTGACCAATCACGACCGACGTACGTCACTTGAATTTTTCAGCCAATAACTGACAACAACTATTCAATTGACTCTAATGATGACTTCCACTCAGGTTGTCCAAACGTCAGTCACTACCACCGACAACAATCTTTCTCAGGTCATTGAAAAGGCAAATTACCTCAATCCCGGCGAAAAAAGGTTTCTTAACGTCTTTTGGAGTGGACCATTTACTGCCGGGGTCTTTATACTTTGCGGAAACTCTGCAAGAAACCTGTTCACAGACAAAAAAAAAGCGATGATAAATAACCACACAGGGCTCACATTAAAATAATAATATTTTACCGGCGCACTGAGCCACTGGCATGTTAATCATTTAAATTGCAACACGGATAACGGCAGAAATTTCATTTGCTGAACGCTACCGAAAGGCAAACTTACCACCAAGCAAGTATGTGTTAATGACCAGGTTCCCTGGAAACAACAGTATCGCACCAACATGAAACACAATTTAATCATGATTTATGTTTATCCAACTGAATGAATAACTCTATTACAATAGTGGGAACGAGACGAGAGAAAATAACGGCTAAATAGACTGAGGAGAGAAAAGTGGCTCAACACTTATGACAATAGGCTTTGTTATGCAAGCGAAAAATGACCCTATATGGCCATTTTTGAACAATGGCGCAACAGCTTCAGAACACATGAAGGATTTGTCGAAGTCTCCGATTAGCATACGAGCGGAAAATTTAAACGCTTGGAAAGACTGAAGGAAAGACAGCGAAAAGAACATTTAGGGGGAGAAAATAGCAGCGAGATAGTTGGAGGGGGAAACTTCGCTTTTTCGCTCAACGGACTATCGAATCACGACTTCACCGCTCTCAGATTTATCTTTCATAGTATGAGAGCAGTTCAAATCTCGCGCGCGCTACGCAAGTCAGACTTAATTCTTTGCGTGCATAATAAGTAATGGTTAAAGGACTGAGTGGAGCCCAATTCGGTCCGTAATCATACGCGTGATAACAATATCGATCGACCACGTAGCGGAAGTCCTATTTGTTTATCACGAGCATGATAACAAACTGTCTGATAAAAATATAACGTACGCAGAGAGAGGTTAAAAATACACCGAAAATTTTTGTTCCGATTAGTCACGAACTTTTTCGCGTCGCTTCGGCCAGAGTCCCTCATCGCTACAAAGAACAAAAGGACTATTGTTTAATACTTAAGGTGAGAAGTTGAGCCAGAGCAATTGACCATTTTTGGATGGGGTAACGCTCGAAACACCAGCTTTGGAAGCTCTTCACGGTGACCAATTTACACTATCAACTCACTTGATAAAGTTTACCATCAAGAGAACATTGTGTGAAACTCTTGAAGTGAGCCTTCACCATATATATAGAGCGTATAGCTAGGCCAGACCGAGATTTGAGATGTCCCCGTTTTGAACGAACGTTGGAGATTATTAAAGTTGTGTATTAAAAGGCGAACAACTTTTTTTCTGAAACAAGCAAAAAACATGTCAAACGACAGTTTCATTTTGCATCTGCTGACGCACTCACCCATCTATTCATTCACCGATAAGCCTACGCGTTTGTAGTGGTATGAAGCACACTTCTGCCCTTCTGTATACGCATAGACGCTTTGTATAAGGAATCGGAAAAAAAATTGAGTTATGTTGTGACACCATTAGAGTTGAATACTTTTGCATCGTTATGAGAATCATCTCTCCCGAGGAGAAATATGTCTTCTCGACGGGTTACGGGATATTTCATCGACTTCAACGGCTTGGGAAGCGCGAGCCATCGAGTTTGGATTCGAGTTCGACCTTGACTTCGAGTTAACTTCTTTTTAACGAAAAAAAAACACCACTTGTAAACAAATAAATAGTAATTTCTGGCTGATGAATCTCAGACCTTGAGAAATCCAGCCTCAGGCCCCCCGAGAAACTCAGACCCCTCATTCCATCTTTGCACGATTTCATATTGGGTGACGTGCTAGCCAAACAATTAAATCGTTGAACCTGTTACGGCTATTATTTCCATATTTTCCGTGAACGTTAGCTTCGGTCTTTTCTGATTGAAAGGAAAGATTTTGTAATTTTGTATATATGAATTATTTATTAAATTTTATTTTTTTAATATGGTATATTTTTTAGTAATTAGTTGTAGCATCTATATTTTGTCATTGTTTCGAGGGACACAAAGTCATCAGTGTCATTGGGCTACTGTTAAGTGTTTTTACCCTCTCAAAATAAAGCCTATTATTATTATTTTTATAAAGAGGGGATCGAAAAATTACGTCGAGAGACCGTGATGGACGACGGGACACATATACTCCGCGATCGGACGAATACAAGTACAGAAAAACTGATGATCCTACTCCTAAAAGAAGGAGTATGGAAGGAAATGGATAGCTCGCTAAAATGGCCGCGCTTCAACATAGTAAGCGGCCAGACAACAACCGATGCACTGCGGAAGGAAAGGGCTGTGACTGTAATTTTATTATGCCCAACAGAGGTCGTATACACTTAGCTTCTTGGCCAATATTCAATGATCGATGAGGTCAAAAGCTTTTTTCGAAGTCGAAAAGAATCACCTTCACAGTGACCCCATTACCGTCAGTGACACTATACTAAGTATAAATCATACTAACTAGGACTTCGGTGGTATTGGAACCGTGAACGGTGCCAAATTGTCTCGGGTCGACCTTAGCAAGCACAGTAGGTTTGACAAAACGATCAGCCACGAAGTCCTCAGCCAACTTGGAAAGGGTAGGTGTAAGTGAAATTGATCTTAAGAGCTTGTTTACATCGTAAACAGTTGTAGAAACAATTTCAGTCAGTAATTGGGAGTTATTAATTTTCTTCTTATACACTAAAATACACCGTGACCAGTGACACTGTCACGTAATTCCATCGTGTAATCATCCTGAATTACTTATCACCTTAAATAAAGCAGCGATTGCTCGGATTTCTAGCTGACAGGATCGAATGATATTTGGTCGGCACAGCTGTGCGCATAACAGTCCCAGTTCATAACTTTGGAGTGTTCTTGTGAAAAAGGATATCACATTCGCCTAACGAGAGGACGTCATAACAAGATTGCATAACAACTGCACTCCGAAATCATTTCCTCCATTTTTGCTAGAAGTGCTTCTTTTGTATCTCGCATTTTGAATGAGGGATCAAAATGTTTGCACATGTCTCTTAGTAGAATTCTGAGCTGATGTTATTGCTATATATACAGCCTATGCTATTTAACCTGTATGAACACTCTAGAACCAAACTACAGGATTTTATTTTGTGTAACCGGCGATAACAGCGCACACTAAAATACACCGTGACCAGTGACTCTGTGTAATCATCCTGAATTACTTCTCACGTTTAAATAAAGTAGCAATAGGATAATTACACGATGGAATTACGTGACAGAGTCACTGGTCACGGTGTATATTAGTGTGCGCTGTTATCGCCTGTTACACTAAATAAATCCTGTAGTTTGGTTCTGGAATGTTCATAGAGGTTGAATAGCATAAGCTGCCAGAACTCAAATATGAAATAATAGAAGCCAATTTTTAAAAAAGAGATTACTATTAAAAGGTTGACTGAACGCTAATCAAATTATGATATTCGATACGTTGTTGTTGACGTCTTTCGTCACGAGATAGTAAAAATTTGTTTTATTTTGGCCTTTTAAAAAGGTTAAGAGTATCAATCAGTGTGGTATAAAAGCTCTGTCCTACTCTATTTTCAACTTAAAATGGTTAAAATCTAAGATTTATTGAGCTACTTATACAAAAACTGTCGGAGTATACTCAGTGAACTAATTTGCATAATCGGCTGTCACGCTAGCAAAATCGCTAAAAGTTTGGAGTCACCACGGCGAAGAAAATTATTAAGTGCAAGATGTTTTAATATTTTCTGCTGCCAAACATCTTATTAGAAGAAATCAAGTGGAGCTTTCAATGTTCTGGTCTGGACTTGAGCAATATCAACCAAGAAAGAAAAAGTACTTTTAAACAATTTCAGAAAGCTAATGAGTGTTTTGAATAAATCATAACGAACCTCTGAATAAGCGAATGTCAAAATTGAAATGCTTTTTATAAACCTTACATATCACACAGTTTAAGAATACAAAGCATCTTTTGCTGCATACTTGTGATACGAGGACCGGGCTTTTTAACTTTTGAAATTTTCGATGTCGCATGTGGTCAAAAAAGGGCCTTCTGCAGCTTTAACTATTGAGAGCTCTAAAAATTTTATTTTAACGTATTTCCAGAAACCAATATGGTTTTATTTACTTGCTACCAAGGATAGATTACTGGGCAAAGTATGAGGGAAAACTTTGTTCCGATGCGAAATGCCCTGGACCGCTATTACAGAGATCGCCACTTAACATCCCTAGTCTATTTCTTCGACAGTCCTTTACCTATCGTCAGATTGTAACACGATTGCATTCTTGTTGTAATCTCATTACCCGAATTCTCTTGAAATAAAATGTTCTATTCTCTGGACCAAATAAAAAAAAGAGACACAAAGTACATTACCCATATTCCCGCGAGGTAGTCAGTAAATCCAATCAGTGTGGATACGATGGAGTTTGTGTTAGGACATGGTATCCTGTCCTTCTGATCGCATCTGGACTTAATACGTAAGGTTTTACCCTCTGAAGTCCATTCAATCTTATATTCAACGTCATCTCGCTGTTCAATGCCTTGAAGGAGATCAACTTTGCAAAGGAGCGAGACCGCAACCGCTTGTTCTCCAGATATGACTTGAATCGATGGCGTTCCTAGGTTGTTACTGTCGAATATTCTCGGTGGAGTTATTTTAACTAAACAAAATAAAGATGAACAAACAAAAGTGTTTTTAAAATTCATAAAAAGATGAAACCCTATGATAATACAAACAACAAAAGAATGGTTCTATATTGCTGAAGAAACCTCAGATATTGATCGATCGGAATGCGAAAAGATCAAATGGTGGAAAGATTAAAAAGTGCAATATAGTGATGATATGATTAATAATTTATCCCATTAGAGTTGGCCGTCACCCGTTAAATGATGAAAAAATTGCATTAAAAGGAAAGAAACACTAACAATATCAGCAACAAGAACGAAAAAACAAAACAAAACAAAACAAAAAAAACACAAACACAAAATAGAATCATGAGGAAGTAATCCACTATTTTCCCTTGGCTCAGTACAGTAAAAGAACTGAAAGGAAAAACAAGAGAAAAATACAAACAAACAAACAAACCAATAACAACAAAAAAATTATTGAAGCAAACTAGTATGCTGTATAAATATAAAACTACCAAATTAAAACAGGAAACAGAACCAATTAAAAAAATACAGTCACTTGATTATGTACATGTGAATAAATCAAAATTCCAATTTTTTTGTTTTTTTGTTGTTATTGTTTTTTTTGTCTTTCGTTCAGCAAATTTCCGAGTGACATTTTCTCAGCATAAATAGCTTTACGTTACGTGAGACCTTATTGATGTCAAGTTTTTGCATTTTGAAAAAAGAAGCAGCAGCCTACGATCTTTGAGTTTACAGTCCATGTTACAATTCTCCATGATAACCATGCACACCTTGCTCTTAGAAATTGGATTTGCAATAAAATAAGAAAATTATGTATAATGAACAAGCGAAATTAAAAGAAGCAGGGGTAATCGTTTTTGGAGCCTAGAGGATAGGGGATAGGTGAAATTATTTTTATACTACTATTGTTATCATTATTATTATTATTATTATTTGTTACCATTTATATATTGGTTGAATGTCAATTAGACCATATATTCTTGAATTATCCTTCTCTTGTGTAATTGGGTACTCATAAATATGTTAGCAGCATGCGAGAAAAATATTCCGCAACACCCCCTTCTGGCGTTTCTATACAGCCCATAGTTATTTTCAATGCTTTAACTATTGTGCTATATCAGTAGCCACATTCAGTTTTTGACTGTCTATTTTTGAAATTTTCATTACGAACGCGTGCTATAAAATCATTAGTTAATTGGTCAGTTTATGAGAGTATGTCATAGGTTTTGTATTTTACGGCAAAATTTGAAAACATCTCAAACTCAAAGCTTTCGCAATACTATAAAAGTAGATATGAGTACAGATTTAAGAGTAGTCAAAGCTAAAATCGTTTGATTCACAAAGTGCTGACACAATTCTTAAATGGTTATAGGTGTCGTGAGATGCACGATTTGATTGGCTAGTAGGAAAACTATCGCACAGCATGTATTGAAAAATCTATATTAATAAAAAAAACAAACAAAAAACATCTGCCTTCGTTTGTCATGCTATTGAGGAGAAATAATTATAAAAAGCAATAGGGAACTTTTTCCGTGTCCACATTCTCTTCTCATATAATTTAAGCTCTCAAATTAATTTACGTACACGCGTTTTCCGGTAGGTTGTGGAAAATGGTTGAGTTGAAATATACCACAAAGACTTGTCAGTAGGTGGTCAAATGAAAACCTTTTTACACATGAACAAATTTTATTGTTGTGTTTCACTTTAATATGTGGCAACAACTCCACCTTCTAGTAAATAAATTTATTTGCAAACATGAGAAAGTACCATCTAAAACTTTTCAACCTCTTTAATATAGACAATAGCGAGATCAACTCAAATTTTAAACTTAGGAGCAAACTTGATTGATGTTTGGAATTGATTTCTGTAATGTACAAATAAAATCCTGGTATTTTTCTTAGACTTCTATCAATATCTTTATGGTTGAACCCTATATCTCTCTTTGTCATCAAGTTTAATAATGATATATTTTAATAATTTCTAGCTTGTCTTCCTTCAAATCAAACTTTCGCAGCTTAAGAAACACGTTAGACAAATCTCGTATTTCAGTAGCTAGAGCTGCTAAGATCATGGACAGTTGCCTAAAAGGCATTTACATTATATGCAGTTTCAGCAGAGGTTACCGAATTAAACAACCGAAAAAAAAAAACAAAAGGACGCCGTGTATTTCTATCTAGAGGACAATCATAAATGAACAATAGCCAAAAGAGAAAAAAGTAAACAAAAGGACAAGTTCAAACACGAGTTAAATTACTTTTCTTTTTAATTTTCTACGCTTATCAGAGGAGGTTGAGACGTTAGGGATAAAACGGTGGAGCAAGAAGCTATACAAAGCAATTTCAAGAGAAGATTTAAGAGAAACCCATACGATTTTGGCATACTGTGTTACTAGCTCACTGTTTTCACTTGCATACTCTTCAGTCGATCGGTGACGTCTTAACTCGAAGTTGTTTACCGGCGTTTCTTTCAATTTTGGGTCATTTTCCCAAACGGAAATTATCAGTGACGCTCAATGGAATACAGTTTCAACCGATACTGACATCGTATACTACATTTGAAGAAGAAAAAATTTCCTATCTTCGAAAATGTGTTTAATCATCAATTGCAAGAACACCAACGAAGGTACTCAGCAGCTTGAAAATACCGCTTACTAGCAGGCGTGTTAGCGTTGGTGTTGGTTTTGAACGCCTTGCAAGTTGACATCATCTCTTTATTCCAGGCCCGTCAGTTCCCTCCACCCAGCCCCCGGACTGGTCCCTATATCCCCTTAGGAAAACTTTTCGACAGCCAGTGAAAAGGCTGAAAATAAAACCAATAAGAGCTCCGCTTTTATAGATCTAAGTAAAATCTAAGTATATATTAATCTTTTATATGTAGCCTGAATAGAAAATTAGCGATGCTATGCCCTCACAGGAAAAACTTAACCTAATTTTAAAATATTTCACGCGGTTTTGAGCTTAATAGCAACTACGTATTCCTAAACTTGCTGGTTATAGATGATTCAAATGCATAGTACTCTACAAGTAATTGGCATTTACAGCACCTAAAATTCATGAAGATGACTTCGAATCGGCCTTAGAAATGAGGAAACCTCAGAGGGCAACACATACCGAAGAGATATATATTGATATCAAATCAAGTTGCAATTATCATGCATCATCGAAGGGAGTTACGATTCGGGAATTTAAACGCGTTTGATGTAATATTGCACTGCCTCATGCTACTTTTCTCTCAGGAGAAAAAAAAAAATTGAAATGGACTTAGGACATCGAAAGGATATGGAAAAGTAAAGCAAAAGATAACAGACATAACCAAAATTGGACGTACGTGTATCTTAAAAACTCACCAGGTTTGCATGGATTGCCAGTTTGACCAGGCGGACACGGTTTCCTGAAGCCTGACGGGAATAGCAATGAAATGTCAGATACAGCAATCGACTATGTAGTAAGAGGTAGACATAATAGGCATACAGTACATTGTTACGATAGATTGGACTTAATCGGCCGATAGTGTCATGGTTTCAGTTTCGTATGGGAGTGATGTTGCCTCTTAAAGGAAATTTCAGGACCCGGCTGGAAACCTTAAGACTAGAATTTAACTACAAATACCCGTCAGTTAACGCGCGGAGACAACAAACATTTTCAGATTTTCTTACCACTCAAGCCTGAAAGTGATCTAGTGATTCGTATGCACTCGAAAGAGACTCGATCTTTAGAAATTAGACTTAATGTGTCTATGGCTTATTTCCGAGTTTTATGGTAATGTTTTTGGGTATTACGGGCTCGCACAAAATCGTAGGCGCGAGATCCTACAATCTAATTCCTCTTTAAAAAAAATTGTTTTTAAGAGGTATAGACCGAAGCCATCACTCACTTACCGGCACAGTACGCTAAAGAGCAAGAATACGTTGGTCCGAGATAGTACACAAAGAAATCGGGGCTTCCTACGCAGAATTTAACCTTTATTCGTAAACTGACAAAGCAGCCTATGCCGAAGAAATTGATGCATGCCTTGTGGTCGACAACTCCATCAGTTCTTGTAGGAAGGGAACCATTCATCCACACTGGATGTACTGTTCCACATCTCATTCGCGGTACCATTTGTATGGGCATTTTGCCTCCAACATAACTTGTGAATCGATACCATCCCCAAGGGAGCGCAATGTCGCAGATAGCGTTTTGACCTGCTTTGAAATGATTCTTGACACTGCGACGAGCGTCGTTAATTTCCTTGTATCCCCCTCCACCTCCTTGTGAACAACATTTGTTGTTACTACACTTGTCGTGCTGAGCAGCAGTCTTGTCGATACTCGCGGTGAGGATCAACAAGAAAACCAACGAGGTATTCAAACTCATTTTCACTTTCTAAACACTGATCTTATATCTATATGTTGGATCTTGTCTGTTTGATTTTTTTTTTTTGGAATTCGTAATCCTATGCATTTCACATGATCAAGGAATGTGCCAAACGTGCACTGAAACTCACGCAACCGCTCTCGCTCAACATAACCCACCAATTCTAACTCTTTTTTGGGGGGAAAGGGGAATTCTCTTGAAATGCATGCGTGAATAACAACATTTCACAGTTGTATCCATTTACTATGTTTTAATTATCCTTTCTCGTGGTATCTATTTGTTTGGAATCCGTTACTTCTACCTATTTTAAAAACGAATTGAAGCTGTAATAGGGTCAAAGGCGACTTGGTTGTTCGTCTGAGAATTTGCTTTGTTTCCGGATGAAATGACAGATCCATTGCCAGATATCGAAGCGATAGAGGAGATTGATCGCGTTTACCTTTAAAGAAAAGTAAATTGCTTTGCTAAAGACAGGGAAGTAAAGCGAACCCTTCACTTCATCACCGCTTGGCCTTACTTGGCCATGCTCAACGAATTAATCAAGCGTTGTTTACTCTATCTTACACAAGGATCTATCCTTGTGCAAAATAGAGTATGTCCTGGTTGTAAAGCATAGCACTCTTTCACTTGGATCACTCAGACGAGCTATGTGTCAATACTGAACAGTTACTGATTTTAAACTCATTTCTTCCGGGATGTTCCGTTATAGAAACCGCAAAAAGGAATATGGGTGCGGTGCCAATTGTGTTTGTCACCTTTCAACTCGTATCAGTTGTCTCCACGGTACCGTAAACATAACGCTAAACTAGCATTTTCTAGCTAGTATTAATTACAGCTATGACACGAAACCCATTTCCGTTTAAACGCGTCAAGTAAACGATATCCCAATAGGAATGCTATTCAACGGCGTATTCCTTAGGGAAAAAAAAACCTTGCTTAGTAGTGCGTTACTAAGGCAGTACTTCAGATCACTTTTCACCAAAATCCAACTTGGACATAGTTCAAAGTGGAGACTCTGTTCATGGCTTTGTCTGATACCTGATAATTACCTTGCCTAATGTAATCGGTTTCACTGAAACGTTGATAGGTTTCTTGAGATTTCGGAATAATCACCGTTTTGTGTAGGTTAATCTGTTTATAATTCAAGAAGTAAGTTTGTTTGCTATTAGTGTTAATGGATATACTGCTCTGTGACTTTTAGTCGCACCTTTTCGCACAGAGAACTGAAATGATTAACTACGTGGCTTTCACTATATTTCTCATGTACTGGTAGCTATTAGTTTTAAAAATGGAAGCTTTCAGATCGCTTAAGCGCTGTTTTCCGACTCAATAAGTGTAATGTAACGTTTTCATTACAATGCAGATCGAGTGAAATATATAATCAAATTTAAATTATTTGTGGGACACCATCGAAAGATCTGTTTTGGGTCTCATTCTAACAGAACACACATCAACGCTTAACAAGTCTTATAATAAAGTTTGGATATAACGCGCGCTGTCATTGGTTGAAAGAGCGTGCTCTATGAGAGTATAGAGCATAGAGCTGAGCTAAAGCTGTCACGCCATCAGCCTAATTGTAATATTCCGACTTTTTCCGGGACTTCTCTCTAGCTTTTTTTCGATAATTGAAAGTGAAATTTTGGAACAAGCGAGCCGGCAAGTAGCAAAAGAAGAACCAAACAAAGGTTTGTAAACATCCTAGGCGCTGTAATTTACGTTATGAAAACGTGAGCAGAGACGAAAATCCTTAAAGAGAAAACAAAATGGACAGTTCGAGTTTAAGTGGCGACTCTGTAAGAGCGGTCCAGGGCATTTCGCATCGGAAAACATTTTTCCCTCAAACTTTGCCTAATAAACTATCTTTAGTAACAAGTGAATAAAACTAAAATAAAACATTAGTTTCTGGAAATACGTTAAAATAAAATTTTTTGAGCTCTCAAAAGTCAACATCGAAAATTTCAAAAGTTGAATAGCCTGGTCCTCGTATCACACCGCATGCAGCAAAAATATTTTGTTTTCTTAAAGTGTGTGATATATAAGGTGTATAAAATGCATTTAAATTTTGATATTCCTTTGTTCAGAGGCTCGTCATAATTTATTTAAAAACACTCGTTGGACAGCTTTCTGAAATTGGTTAAAAGTACTCTTTCTTCCTTGGTTGATATTGCTCAAGTCCAGACCAGACCATTAAAAACTCCGCTTGATTTCACTAATAAGATGTTTGGCTGCAGAAAAATATAAAACTGAACATCTTGCACTTATTGATTTTCTTCGCCGAGGTGAACTTCGAACTTTTAGCGATATTGCTAGCGTGACAGCCGATTATGCAAATTAGTTCTTAGATTTTAACCATTTTAGAAAATGAAAACAGACCTTTAAGACCACACCGATTAATACCTTAAACATTTTAAAAGGCCAAAATTTTGTCAAATTTTATTATCTCGTGACGAAAGACGTCAACAACAACGTATCGAATATCATAATTTGATTAGCGCTCGCAAACCCCTCTTTAAAAATTTGGCTTCTGTTATTTCATATTTGAGTTCTGACAGCTTACGCTATTCAAACCTGTATAAACATTTCAAAACCAAACTACAGGATTCTATTTAGTGTAACCAGCGATAACCGCACACACAGAAATACACCGTGACCACTGTCACATAATTCAATTGTGTAATTATACTGAATTGCTTCTCCCTTCGTAATAAAGCAGCGATAACATCGCCTTTTGGGTCAGAATTCTGGTCGGCAGGAATAAGAAAAAATTTTGTTTGCACACCTGTCTTTATGAAAGTTTCTATTCAGAACTCAAGGGAGTTCTTGGGGAAAAGGACCCCGCGATTTTTGAGGAAATAAATTATTACGTTACGTGTCACCTCATTTTTCCAACAATTAGCTATATCAATATTGTAAAGCGCGTAATGTTATTAGCTGTAATTCATATGTCTCTTTCGGTACTGGTTTGCTTGGGACTAATAACACTAAATTCTTGAAGCGGTATTCGCCACATGAAGTCCTGTTTCCAGTCGCGTTCCTCAAAAACTTCGTTCGGAGACTCAAAAGGAGTTTCCGGTTTATTTAACTTGCCTCAGAGTACTAACTCAATAAAGGGTAATCTCTGCTTAATCCATTTGTCAAAAGGGAGTTTCACAGAAGGAGAGCTTATCTTTGCAAGGGCTGGCCTGTTCGATGTAGAAGACTCAGTTATAGCAAAATATGGGTCTGCGCAAAGCATAAGCACACTTATGGGAAGTTCTGGCGCCAAAGTTCAGCGTGCCAGTATCCGACACACCCTGGTAGTGATTCCAAAGGTGTTAAAGAGCCGGTATTCTGTCAATTTGCAAATGTCAAAGGCCATCTCTATGATGTATGGTGTTCTATAGAGGTTTAGACAATACTGCAGCTGAGGGAGCGGATGGTTTCAAGGATTTTCTCCAAATTATAGACGAATTGGAAAGCGTGGGAGCAGAAAAGGACTAGTGTAAAGAAGTTCGGAAGAGGCTTCAGGAGAGCAAGTTGTATTTGAAGACTACATACCGTAATCGCTGCGAATAGGACGATAGCAAATGTGCCGATCACTGTAGGGTCTTTGCACTGAGCCGTGCTGGTGACACTGACGTTCAGAAAGTATGCAGTCACAGTCACCACGTGAAGTGTGAGGATTATGAGAAGCTGAAGAGTGTTCTTGAAGAAGTAAAAGGCGCTATTTCTGAGTACATAATGCAATTGGGTAGGTTTCAAGCGGAAGACTATCTGTATGAAGCAAAAAATGCTGCCGCTAAGATCTTTGAATGGAGAGGGCATATCCTGAGAGCAGAAACCAGGATCAGTACGAGCGGCAAATTGTCGATACTTTGAAGGGAGATGAAGCATTTATAATAGTTGACTGGACAATGAAGTTCATAGCGATGAAGTTCCGGGAAAAGCAAGCAGAATGGTTTCGCAAGAGAGAAAGCAATTGGCATGTGAGTAGCGTTGTTGTAAGACAGGAGGAAAGCCTGGAAGTAACCTGATACGTGCACCTTCTTAACAGCTGTAAACAAGACTGGTTTTCAGTGCTGTCAGTCCTAGAAAATCTCTTTGTCACCATAAAGTTACGAAATTCAGGAATAAAAAGAGGCCTTTCTAAGATCGGATGAAGCAGGTTGCTATCACATCAATAAGCTGGTATCATCTCTACGAGGGTTCGAATATCAAGATTGCCACTTTCAGCAACTTACACAAGAGGGCCTGCGCTTTTGGAGAGTGTTTAATGTTGGGCCTGGAAAGTTTATTCGGTAAAATTAAATTTGCAATTTTTCCACAGAAAAAAGACGGATCTGGTGGAGGAGATTCCATTTTTCCCCACTACTGCTCGACGAACTGCATCAGTAGGAGAAAGCAATGATGGCAACGACGGTAGTTCCTATCAATGCCCTGAACCTGGTTGCGACGAAGATTTTAAGACCCAGGCCGACCTTGACTTCCATATGAACTAGCTAGTTCATCATGTACGTCTTGTGCCTGCGAGCATGACTTGAAGTCTTTATGACAAAGTGAAGAGGTAGTGGGTTCATCACTTTCAGTCATTGTCATTGGAGGGTGAAAGTTCGACTGAACTGGTTGCAGTGGCCACAGAACCCTTGACAAGTACATCAAAGCTTCCCATGGGATGGGCTCTTCATAAGAGAGGTGCAAGTGAATGGCTTTCGCAAAACGTCAGGCAGTACTTGACACAGAAATTTAATATCGGATGAGACACTGGTAGAAACCAAACCCAGAGAAAGTAGCATAGGGTATGCGAACTGCTGGCACAATAGATGGAGAGACAATGTTCGATAGAACAGAGTGGTTATCCAACATACAGATTCAGGGTTTCTTCTCGAGATTGTGCCTTAAACAGCGATCTAAAATACAACAAGAATCGGATGATGCCACCGACGCAGACGACCACTTGATAGAAGCATCCGCGTTTGTTGTAGACGAAGGGTGTTTGAGAGAGGCGAGGAACACAGTAATGG